TCTAGGTGTGGTTGTTAATAACTATGAGTTTGTTGTCATTTTACTGGTCATATTTTTATCTTCTATTTCTTAGATAAGTCCCTTTAACATTTCATATAATAAGGGCTTGGTGATGATGAACTCCTTTAACTTGAGCTTATCTGGGAAGCACTTTAACTGCCCTTCCATTCTAAATGAGAGCTTTGCTGGATAGAGTCATCTTGGATGTAGGTCCTTGCTTTTCATGACTTGGAATACTTCTTTCCAGCCTCTTCTTGCCTGTAAGGTTTCTTTTGAGAAATCAGCTGACAGTCTTATGGGCACTCCTTTATAGGTAACTGTCTCCTTTTCTCTTGCTGCTTTTAAGATTCTCTCCTTCTCTTTAATCTTGGGTAATGTAATGATGATGTATCTTGGTGTGTGCTTCCTTGGGCCCAACTTCTTTGGGACTCTCTGAGCTTCCTGGACTTCCTGGAAGTCTATTTCCTATGCCAGATTGTGGAAGTTCTCCTTCATTATTTGTTCAAATCATTTTTCCATTTCTTGCTCTTTCTCTTCTCCTTCTGGTACCCCTATGATTTGGATGTTTGAATGTTTAAAGATGTCCTGGAGGTTCCTAAGCCATTCCTCAGTTTTTTTGAATTCTTGTTTCTTCATTCTATTCTGGTTGAATGTTTCTTTCTTCCTTCTGGTCCATACCATTGATTTCAGTACTGGTTTCCTTCCCATCACTGTTGGTTCCCTGTACATTTTCCTTTATTTCACTTAGTATAGCCTTTATTTTTTAATCTAATTTGTGACCATACTCAACCAATTCTGTGAGCGTCTTGATTACCAGTGTTTTGAACTGTGCATCTGATAGGTTGGCTATTTCTTTGTTTCTTAGTTGTATTTTTTTCTGGAGCTTTGATCTGTTCTTTCATTTGGGATTTTTTTTTTTTTTTTGGTCTCAGCACACCTGTTAAGTAGTAAGGGCAGGAGCCTTAGGTGTTCACCAGGGCAGGGCAACCCACTGACGCTGTGGTGTGATGCTACACATGGGGCAGGGGTCTGAGAGGGAACAGTGCCACTTGCTCTGTTCTGTGCTGGTTTTCAGTCACTTCCTCTGCTACCCACAAGCAAATTGGGCCCTCCTGGTGCTGATTCCCAGGTGGGTGGACTTGTGTACATTCTAGGACCCTGTGGGTCTCTCCAATGAACTTTCCTGTGAGGCTGGGAGTTTCTCCCACCCCCACAACCCTCACAGGTTTTTTCAGTCAGAGGTTTTGAGGCTCTATTTCCCTGTGCTGGAACCCTGGGTTGTACAGTCTGTTTTGCTCCACAGTTGTTCCTCCTGGTTTATTCACACAGAAATGTGTGATCCCCAGCTCCACCAGCCGCCGCCTCCCTGGATACTCCAGCCACCACCTTGCTGTGAGTCCTCTGTGCCTGGCTGCCCATCTTCACCCCTCTTATTGACCTGGATGAATGTTTCTTCTTTAACTCCTTGGTTGTTGGACTTCCACACAGTTCGATTTTCTGTCAGTTCTGGTTTTATCTCATTTTAAATTTGTTGTCCTTCTCTTGGTTGTGTGAGGAGGCACAGTGTGTCTACCTATGTCTCCATCTTGGCCAGAAGTCCAGGAAACTTGTCATTGAACCTACTCAGAGTGACTGCCTGCTAAAACAAATAAGCAAACAAAATTCAACATTCTAATGAAGAGAAAACAGTAGCTGACATTCATAGCAGCTTCTCCAGGAGAATGGTGCTGGAGAAGGCATGTAGGATTCTATGTGGCCAGCCACCCAAATTCACTCCATTCATTCAACATTCTCCTGAGGATATTAACAGGATCCTGAGTCTTGCAACATAATATTCAGAGTTCCCAAGATACAATCCAAAATGACTCATCACTTTTTAAAAAACTCTGGCCATTTCCTGAAGGAAAAGATAATCAACTGATGTCAACTCTAAGATAACTCAGATGATGAAATTATTAGACAAAGGGTTTATCATTTTTAAAAATTACATTTTTTCCAGCTTTAATGAGGGGTTATTGACAAAAATGGAATATATTTACAAAATACTGAAGATCAGAGCAGAGATCAATGAAATAGAGAATAGAAAAATAATATAGAAAATCAATGAAACCAAAAGTTGGCTCTTTGAAAAGATCAACAAAGTGACAAAGCTTTAGCTAGGTAGACCAAGAAAAGGAGGGAGAGAGAGAGAGAGAGAGAGAGAGAGAGAGAGAGAGAGAGAGAGAGAGAGGAAAGGAAGGAGAAAAAGAGGGAGAGAAACGTCAATGTGTGGTTGCCTCTCTCGCACCCCCTACTGAGGACCTGACCTGCAACCGGGGTATGTCCCCTTCCTGGGCATCAGACCAGGGACTCTTTGGTTCACAGGGTGGCACTCAACCCACTGAGCCACAACAGATAGGGCTTGTCAAGTTTTGGGGGCGGGGTTTGGGGGGGTTGTTTGTTTTAGGGTTCTTATACTTTAGAGATAGGTACTGGCATGTCTACAGTTGAAATGATACATTTAGGATTTGCTTCAAAAGAATGGGGAGGCATGCCATGGGGTGAGGAGAGATGAAAAGCAGACTGGCCATGAATCAGTCATTGTTGACGATGGGTGATGAATACAAAGCCATTCATTATTATCCTTTTGTATGTTTGGCAATTTCCCAAATAAAAGGTCTAGAAGCCAAAAGACGAGAATCTTCGTCAGGCGCTACCCCTCACTCACTGTGTGAACCTCTTTCTTCCGCATCTCATGATGAAAATGGAAGATGACAATACCTGTATCTCATACCACTTTCGAGAGGACTAAAAGTGAAGACGTGTAAGATACTTTACCAAGACAGAGGACTCTGTTCTCACAAGGCCAGAGATTTTAACAGCCGTCCACAAGAAGACTCGCTCACACGCTAGGGTGCCCTGAAACCGGACTACAGGCAACAAGGTCCCCCACTGCTCTGCAGAGAAGTACCTGTGATAGAAACCGCTCTTCCACTGTGATCAGCACCCCTCCAGCAAAGTGAGAGCTTCCCAGTTTAAACAACCCCGCCGTCAGGTGCCGAAGGACCTTCAACCAGTGGACTGAGGAAAGAAAAATCCACGGTGGGAGGAAGGCACGCACTGAAGTCTTCATCCCACTCCCATCGGTTTATCCGGTTAGCCCCTCCTTCTCAATACCTCTCCCCCATGTTCTGCTCCCAAAGCGGAGACTGGAGGTTGGGGGCAGGACGGAGAGTGAGCGCCTGGGCTCCCAAAAGGTAGGAGCTCGAAAACTCAGGCTATGGATCTAGACAAGATGCCTGCCTTCTCCCTCATCTCTCCCCCATTTCCTCTTACCTGACCCAATAGTGCGGGTCTTCAAGGAGCAGACCGTTTGGGTGGGGGCAGGGCAGGGGAGCGTGAGGGGCGGGGCTACGCAGCACCCCAGCCAATGGCTGATGATCAAGAGGTTCACAGCGCCTCCAGCACTCCCACCCTCGAGCGTGAGGAGCGTGAAACTACTGCTCTGCGAAGACTTCAGGGGTCTCAGCTGTTCCAGTTCAACAGACCCACCCGTGGAGTCCCGCGGCCAAGGAAGGGTTGGAAATGTCTTTCTCTTCTTCTGTCACAGAAATTTATGTAGAGGATGGCTGCCTGTAGGAGCTAAGTAATCCGAAATCCTGGGACCTCTTGAGCATTTAAAGAGAACCCAACCCCAGCTGGTGTGGCTGAGAGGATTGAGTGCCCACCTGCAAACCAAAGGGTCCCTGGTTCGATTCCCAGTCAGGGCGCATGGCTGCATTGTGGGCCAAGAGGCAACCCATTGATGTTTCTCTCACACATTGATGTTTCTCCATCTCACTTTATAAAAAACTTTTCTTTAATTAAGAAAATAAAGGAAGCCTATTCCCTGGATCTCTGGGAACCCCAACCACCTCTAAGCACAGCCTTCACCCCAGTCACTGACTGACTGACTCTATTTCCTTTTAGGGAGTACTTCAGCTCAGTTGTGAACTCACCGCTTCCACCAGTTCCTTAAGACCCATTCAATTCACCCACTAGGCAAATCCATTTGACTTTAACCCTGTGGTAACGGGATGTCTCTTACCAAGTAGGTGTGGAACCGTGATGGGCTCCACAATACAATAGGGTAGTTCCCAAACTAAGTCTGTGTGGATCACTCAGCCCAAGACAGTCTTGGAAACTCTTACAATAATTTTAGACCCACGATGGGGGAACTATGTCCTTGGCAAGCACACAAATATCTTTTCCATCTTTGTTGAAGCCGCCATGTCCTGGGTATTTCCTGGCTAAAGGCCAATCCCTTGATAAAGCAAGTCTAATAATCTAGCATCTGAATTTGCCACTGTGAGGCAAGGGCAGGAACTCGGGGCTTGATGTTTAGCTCTCAAAAGAATGGAAGACTCCTGCCCTGGCTGGTGTGACCCTGTGGATTGAGAACCAGCCTATGAACCAAAGGGTCGCCAGTTCGATTCCCAGTCAGGGCCCATGCCTGGCTGTGGGCCAGGTCTCCAGTAGGGGGCGCTCAAGAGGTAGCCACACATTGATGTTTCTCGCCCTCTCTTCCTCCCTTCCCCTCTAAAAATAAATAAAATCTTTAAAATATATATATATTTTTAAAATGGAAGACTCCTGAGAGTTCCACATTTATGGAAACTGAGACATTTACAGAAAAGAAAAACCAATCAGCCCACACTCAGGGCTTGGAGAGTGGACTGATTTATTGGCCAACAGCGTTATTCCTCTGGCTCCACGCCAGTCAGGTTTGGTTGGCGTCACCCACTGTGTGTGTGAGTGGCATGTGCACACACTGAGAAAGGGGGTGGGGAAAATGACAGTGGCAACCAGAGGAGTCTTGAACTGGGGCTGCAATCGCCCCAAGAGCCCCCCGAAAATAATGCCCCTACCCTTGGGAATTAAAGGGGGTTCTGGGGCCAAGGACATCAGCAGCCGCTAGTTGATACCAGGTCGCCTGTTTTGAGAGAGGCATGACGTCGGGTGACATGAAGGAGGGTAGGAAGTCACACAGCCTGTGGATCAGCGGTTTGGTTATCATCCTGCAGGACTGGCTCCTTTTGGACCTCTTTGACAGGCCCATCCAAGCTCGTGGGCTTAAAGGGAATGCCGTGGGTGAGGCAGTACACTAAGCGCATGGGGATGGGGAGGATGACAGCGAGGAAAAGGGACATCATTGTGAACAGCAACCATGTTGGGTATTGCCGAGACACCTCTTTTGACTGTGGAGAGATGGGAAAGGGGTTTAGAACATCAAAGCTTCCAGAAGAGGAAAGATTGTGGAAGGGGAAGAGTGGCAGGGGAACCAGGGCAGAGGACTGGCGAGCCTTCGGGGAGCAGAGAATGAGAGGACAGGGTCTCTAGGCAGGAGTGGACTGAAAGCTTGTCCCCACTCCCCGGGAAGGTCTGGGGTCTGGACGGGGAGGCTCACAGTGCTTGAGTCCCAGGCCAAATAGCTCATGGTGTTCAGAGGCAGAAGGATCAGACAGGTCACAAGCAGCACCAGCAGCACAATTGGACACACAGCGAACCACAGCCAGTGAAAGATGGGGTGGATGGAACAGCCCCACAGATTCGCCAAGTCTGCAAGGAACCTGGAGCAAGGGCCAGGAGAATGTGGGAGGTCCACACCCTTCACTGGGGGGTCAAGGCCAGCCCAACCTTAGTGAGCATCTTTCCAATATTTTACCTCACTTCCAAACCCCTGCCTCTGCTCAAGCCTCATCTGCTCTTATCTTCTCTCAACAACTCCCCCCCAAAAAGTCAAACATTCTGCCCTGGCTGGTGTGGCTCAGTGGATTGAGTACCCACCTGTGAACCAAAGGGTTGCCGGTTCAATTCCCAGTTAGGGCACATGCCTGGGTTGCAGGCCAGGTCCCCAGTAGGGGCCGTGTGAGAGGCAACCACACACTGATGCTTCTTTGCCTCTCTTTCTCCTTCCTTTCCCCTCTCTTTAAAAAGATAATTTTTTTCAAACATTCCTCTACTGCTCCAAAGCCTTTCATGGGTACCCAGTGCCCTCAGGGCAAAGGCCAAGTCCCTTTCATTCATTCCATAAACTAGAGAGGGTGCTGTGCCAGGAACTCTTCTAGGTGCTGGGTGTCCATCATGAACAACACAGACCCCCCAAAAAGTTCATTAACACTTGACCCTGAGGAACTTTTCTTAGTTTCTTCCTGCCCCATGTTTCTAGTCTCCTTCAGTGCGTGCTCTCAAACTTAGTAAGGATACGAACGGGTCTTTTGGCCTAGACTACTGCTCTCCATTTCCCTATCGTGTGTCCAGACTCTGCTCAGTTGCCCTCTCCTCTAGGACATGCTCTCTGAGTTTCCAGGTGCTCTAGTGGGCCACCGGCTACCTCTACTCTGGACTTACCACCTTGTGTGGCAACTGTCTGCTTACAGATGTTTTCCTCTTTGGATTCTGCTCGTCGACAGGAGGGGCTCATTCTAACTCATTCGTACTCTGGTCCCACAAGGCTTTCCTGACACAGCAAGTCTCAAGGGACATTTGCGCAGTGACTTAATGAGTGAACTGGCTCTGAGAGCCTCAGTCACCCGAAAATGCTGCCTCCTCAACTATCCGCCCTTGAATTATATATAAAACGCTGGGCTCTGGAGTCCCTTGGATGTGACTTGGATTCTCCCCTCTCCCATTCCACAGTTACATCGGCTGGTTCCCAGACCCTGATTCTCCTGTTCCTTCTGCCCTAGTCGCTCTCCCTTGCAAAATTAGACCACATCTCTCCATCCCCCCCTCTAGCACCCTAGCCTCCACCGTTGTCAGCTCCATTTTAAAATATTACAATAGCTCCCTATTGTTTCCATGGCTTCAGTTTTGACTTCTCCTAGCCTATGTGTTCCACACAGTAATTGTATCTTTTCAAAATAAATCAGATTATGTCACTCCCCTATTTAAAACCCTCTCGTGCCTCTTCCAGCATTCTGCATACAAAGCTAAGCCCTACCACGGCTCAGAAGGCCCTGCATGATGTCGCGTTACCTCGCTGGTCTCCTCTGCCAACACTCTGTTCCAACCTCTCTGATCTCCTTGTTCCTCTAAACCTCCAGGCATGGCACTTCCCTGCCCTTGGCACTTACTGTTCCCTCTGCTTGGAACACACCCTCTCAGAATCTTGTTATGGCTTCTTCCTTTGCTTCACTCAGGAGTCTGTTCACATGTCACCTTTTTCGAGAGGCCTTCCCTGCCACCCTATCTCAGTTAATGTTGGGAACCACCCTGCCTGGTATCAGAAGCTGGAACCCCCACCAAGGCTAAGGCTGAGGGAATGACCTTGGACCACAAGCCAGCAAGGAGACAAAAGCTTATCTCCCTGGCAGGAGCACTGCTTCTGCTCCTTTTACTTCATCCATAACTGGCCCCCAATGCTTGGTTGGTTAGCCAATGATGGGTAATTTCCCCAAGGGGGGAATGACCTAAAACAGGCACAATCACATGGGAGGCCCCCAAGGAAGGACTATGGGGCTACAGCAAAAGGGGGTGATGGACACCCGCCCCTCTGCTTTGACATAGCCTGAGTCCTTATTGTCTGCGAGAAAATCTCCTAATCTCTTGGCTGCCTTACTTCCCTTGCTCCACCTAAGCCTGAACAAATGACAGAGGGTGGTGCAGCCCTGTGCTGGAAAGGGCAGGTTCCCCTGGTGATCAGGCCTAAGAAAAAATATGTAAAATCCTGTGAAACCTGTTTTGTTTAGAATGCTCTCAGTGAAATGATAAGGGTCCAAGCAAGAAGTAAGTTTGTTCCTCAGAGTTTTACAGCTCTTTAGCTATCTGACCCTGATTCAAAATAGGCCCTCAGACTTCCTTGTTATCTATTGTTTGATCCTTACTGCCTGGCAATGACTAATGAGCTTTACCTGAATTCCTGTGTAAATGAACCCAATAAAAGCCTGCCCAGGCAGGAGAATGGGGCATTCTCCCCTAGGGAGGGTGGCCAAGGCACTCCCCACTAGAGAGAGTGGCCGTTCCATCCCTATTTCCCCACAGGACCTGGTTGTCTCTGTGTATGTTTTTCTCATGTTTCGACGAGCCATCCGCAGCATTCTGTGGTCACTGCAGGCCAGTGGTTGTGTCAAATTAACACCCACACGTACTCCCCTGCTTGATTATTTTATCTTACCTTCGACTTTCTCCTCTCAGTTATAACCACCTAACATTTTTATTTGTTCATTTGGTAACTGTCTAGCTCCACTGTTAAAGGCACACTCCCTGATGGTAGGTGTGCTTGTTTTACTAGATCCTCTATCCCCGTTGACTGAAGGAGTGCCTGGCACGTATTAAGCACTCAATATATATGTTAAAGAAATGAATGAATTCAAAGGTTTCTCAGAAAGCCCTGAAGTTAAGGGTCCCTGTTGTCAGTCTAGCTGAGTGAGAATAAAGGCAAAAAAGAAAGCAGTCAGCCCTGGCTAGTGTGGCTCAGTGGATTGAGCATCAGTCTGAGAACCAAAAAGCCACCAGTTCGATTCCCAGTCAAGGCACATGCCTGGGCTGTGGGCCAGGTCCCCAGTAGGGGGCGTGTGAGAGTCAACTGATCAATGTATCCCTTGCACACAGATGTTTCACTCACTCTCTTTCTCCCTCCCTTTCCCTCTCTCTAAAAGTAAATGAATAAAATAGAAAGAGAGAGAGAGAGGAAGGAAGGAAGGAAGGAAGGAAGGAAGGAAGGAAGGAAGGAAGGGAGGAACGAAGGAAAGAAGGAAGGAAAAGAAAGAAAGGCATCAGCCTTCCCTGCAGACCCAAGCAAGCACCTCCTGGCTCCGTAGGCCCAGGCCACAGCCACATTTTCAAATATTACGATGATAACTATGGGGAGGATCATCCAGTATTCACTCAGCAGTATGGTGTAGTAGATGCCTGGAGGCCGAATGAAGAAGAGGCCACACAGCAACATGAGCACGAAGGCCACCACTGCGGGAGACAATGCATCTGGGTCAAGGTCAGAGGTCCAGCTAGTGGAAGAGGGTAACTAAGCAGAGGTTATAACCAGGCCTGGGTGAGCATCTCAGAGAAGCCAGGGTCATTGGAGGGAGTAGGGCCACAGGCCGGAGTACCTGTGCACAACTTCGGATGCCTTCTGAAGGGGGAAAAGCTGTCCTGGAGCTGAGTGACAATGCTCTGCAGGGTCCCCAGCATGACATTCAGCCCAAAGGCCAGCAACATCAGTAAGTGGAGGATGGTCCAGAAGACAGAGCCAGGAGCGAATGTCAGGGCTTCGATAACAGCCAGGAAGGCAAAGTTTGAGCCCTCCTTCACCTGTTAAGGGGGGGGAAGGTGGAAGTTAAAGTGTCCTTGAACTTAACAACAACACTACAAAGATACATTCTGCCTTCCCTGGGAAATGCCAAGCTGACCCGCTGACATGGAAAGCCAAACCACCTAGCATTATCCACAGAAGGAATTCTGCTACAGTTCTTTTTTTTTTTTTTTTAAGATTTTATTTATTTATTTTTAGAGAGAAGAAGGGAGAAAGAGAGAGAAACAACAATGTGTGGTTGCTTCTCCCAAACCCCCTACTGGGGACCCCTCTGCAACCCAGGCATGTACCCTGACTAGGAATGGAACCAGCGACCCTTTAGTTCTTAGGCCAGCACTCAGTCCCCTGAGCCACACCAGCCAGGGCTGCAGGCTACAGTTCTTTGCATTACCAAGGCTACAGGTTATCTTGGTGCTTCTGGGAGTCTTTTTTTCCTTCCTGGTACTAACAATAAAAGATGAAATTTCTGTTTTATAGAAGGCATTGAGGCCCTGTCTGGTGTGGTTCAGTGGATTGAGCGCTGGCCTGGGAACCAAAGATTCCCAGTCAGGGTACATGCCTGGGTTACGAGCCAGGTCCCTGGTACGGGGTGTGCAAGAGGCAACCACACATTGCTATTGTTCCCCCTTTCTTTCTCCCTCCCTTCCTCTCTCTCTAAAAATAAATACATAAAATCTTTTTTTTTAAGAAGCCATTGAGGAACTCTCAGCCCAGCTTACTTATTTTTACTGACCTTCAAAAATTGCTTCTCTAAGTCACACTCAACAATGTGGCTGAGGACCAGGCTGCTAATGGGCGGGGGCAGGCTGCTGAGCCAGGCGAAGAAGACAGGGCCCGGGTTGTGCCCCAGGTTTTCAGGGGGCTGGGCCTCAGGAGGCAGTTTCCCCAGGGTTACCAGACTGGAAAGCGTTTCTGCGTTCCTGCGGCAAAAAGAGTTGAGTCACTTAGAACCATTCGTCTTCTTAGGACACTGCCTCCTTTTCCCTCATCTTCCATAAAAGAAAGGACATCACTAGCCTGGCATTACTGATCTGCATGAGGTAGAGCCTGGGATGAAACCAAAAAGGCACCCACCTTCAGCATCATGAATCTGTGTGAACCCGGGGAATTTATAACCATGGGGGACTCCCGGGGAAGGTTTTCCTTTCATCTTCTTGGGATTCTGGGAGTCCCTGCTCTAGTAATGAAGTCTATTTATTTATTTATTTATTTACTTATTCTTTTTTAGAGAGAGGAAGGGAGGGACAGAGGGAGAGAAACATTAATATGCAGTTGCCTCTCACACACCCCCTATTGGGGACCCAGCACACAACCCAAGTATGTACCCTGACTGGGAATCAAACCGGCAACACTTTGGTTCGCAGGCCGGCATTCAATCCACTGAGCCACACTAGCCAGGGCTAGTGATACAGTCTCTTATTCGTCCCCCGACCTTAGTCCTCCCTCCCTCCTTAGACTAGTAGCTAAAAGCCAACCTTGTAAGCTTTGCACACAGAGGATCAGGGAGCACCGCACACTTAGATGATGCGTGTATGATCCTCCCACGGAGTTGTGCTACCAGAGAGAACCTGCTTCTCAGGCTTTTTGTAGTTCCCTGGGGCCAAGACCCACCACTGAGGGGCTGGCCTTACTTTTCGCTGCAGCGGTGTGTGGTGATTGTGGCCCAGAAGCCCAGGAGGCAGAAGATGGAAGGTGTGGCGAGCAACATGGAGCCCAGGTTGAACAGCATCACGAAGAAGGCATCGTGGAGACAGTTGTTGGACGGGTTCATGTGCGAGGCTAGAGAGATGATGGGGCTGGAGCCGAGACCCAAGCTAAATAAGACTTGGACCCCCGCAAAGCACCACACCGCCACATCGTACAGAGCCGATATCTAAAAGAAAGAAGGCAAGAATGAGGACAGAGATTAAAGAAGAGGAGAACCTTAACAAAATAAGGGAGGAGACATAGAAGAAGATAATGGGGAAAGGCCACCTAAGAATAAACAACAGGATCCTGGCTAGTGTGGCTCAGTGGACTGAGCGCCAGCCTGTGAATCAAAGGGTCACCAGTTTGATTCCCAGTCAGGGCACGTGCCTGGGTGGTGGGCTAGGTCCCCAGTAGGGGGTGCTCAAGAGGCAACCACAAACTGATGTTTCATTCTCTTCCTCTCTCCCTTCCCCTCTCGCTAAAAATGAATAAATAAATTTTTTTTTAAAGAATAGACAATAGGTATCCTCTAAGGCCTGATAGAAGAGTAAGGAAGATACACCTTACCTTCAAAACCTTCAGATGTTGAAGGCCAAACTCCGCTCCCTCCAGCAGCATTCCCCGGATGAGGAAGCAGAACGCGATTATATAGGGCAGTGGCACCAACACATACATGACCTGAGTTGAGAGTTGGGCATGTCAGCGACCATGTGCCACTGGGGTCCACCCAGGGTCACCAGTGGTGGAAAGTTCTGAGTCAGAAATGAGGAGTTAGAAGACAGCTTTCAGCAGGGTTCAGGGGCCAGAGGGAGTGACACAGTAGTAGATCAAGAAGTAATCACTTAGGCGACGGCTGAAAGTACCTGAGACTGTTAAGGAATTCGCCAACGGTGGCTCACCTTCCCAATGGACTTGAGCCCATTAATCATGAAAGTGCCAACGAGACACCAAGCCAGCAGTAAGGGCAAGGTCAGACTTAAGTCTGGTGCCCCGCCATCCTCAATGCTGTCTGAGGCCTTCAAGGTCGTCCGGAACCAGAAGTACACGGCGGGTGTCATCCGCTGACATTCGGGATCTGAGGGTATCAGGCTCTGGATGTGCTTGCTGGGCAGGGCGACCCCTCCCCTCTACGTTAGCGCTTCCCCCACATCCCTTCCATCTCATTTCTTCTTCCTTCTATTCTCTGCCTCTTCTTGACCCCTCCTCGCTCCTTGCTCCTCTTCCGAATCCCCTTCCCCTCCTCACCAAAGTCACTGGAGTTCTTCAGTAGAGGACACTGCTCCCATGGAATGGAATACTTGAAGGCCTGCGCCAGGTAGTAGAGGATCCAGGTGTTCAACACATTCAAGTACAAGCTGGCAATGAGGCACACCTGTGGGGCCAGGGAGGCGGTGGCTGGGGAGGAGGGATGGGGACAGGAAAGATGAGGGAATTTGGCAGAGGACTGGGGAACTGAAGGGACTTGACCCATGCAGGTGAAATCAGGGGACCTGTTCCAGGACGGGGGCGGGGGTGGGCGTGAAGGGTAGGCTTGGGCAGCCCAGGGCTCCTCACCATGAAGCTGGTGTACCCCACGCCACCAACCCAGGGGCCAATGATCTTCCATGCACCAGTGCTGCCCTGTTGCATCCTCTGCCCGACGGCCATCTCCAGGAAGAGGAGCGGAGTCCCAATCAAGAACAGCAAGAAGATGTAGATGATGAAAAAACTCCCTGAGCAGGGCATTGAAGGAGGGAACCATCTGGGACTTCTTCGAGAGTCCAGAAAAACACATCCCCACCCATGACGTCCCTTAGAACCACAGGCATCAAGACTCAACTATTTGCACATCCCTCAGAGTCCCAGGTGTCCAGCCCCATGGCTCCAGTTCCTGGAAGGCCCAGATGCGTCCTTTCCACCTCCAGCCCTGATACACACTTCTAGCCCCTTATCCTCATGTCCAGATACCCTGCACCTCCATCCCTCTCGGGATCCTTGGTGTTTAGGCCCCGCCTCCTCTCCTGCTCCGAGTGCCGAGTCTCTAGCCTCTACAGGTCCCGGAGACCATGGTGTTTGAACCCTGGCTAGGCTTCTGTCTTGCTAGCCCCTTGTGGACCCACAACTCCTGGTCCCCAGACTTACAACCTCCGTGGTGAAGCCACATGTAGGGAAACCGCCAAAGGTTGATTGACCTCACGGAGTAGCCCACCTGGGCCAGGATGTACTCAACCTTGTTAGACCAGAGTGGCCGGGTGTAGGGGACCTCACTACTCTTCTCCTCCTTCTTCTTCTTCTCTGGCACCTCCATCCTCTTACTTAAGGGTTTCTGTTTCAGGGGTTGGGCAGATTCCAGCCTCAATACAGAGGTTTGCTTGGGTTGGGTGGCCTTCTTCCGTGCCTCATAAGCCTGAGTCTCCCAGGCCTTAGCCTTTGCAACTCGGGCTTCCAAAGTCTCGGTATCCGAAGCCGGGGCCACCAGAGACCCTAGGCCCTTGTCTTCCCAAGTTTGGCTTCCTAGGAAACACGCTGAAAGGGCTGAGTCAGTAGATGAGGCTTTTGCCAGTGAAGGTTCTGACGGCTGGCCCTGTGCGGGAGCTCCAGAAAGCCCGATGGAGAGCCTGCTTTGCCGAGCAGACCTTAAGGACACCAGAGACGACATTTTAGATGTTAGAGTCAAGGGCGGACTGAGCTGCAAAATAACCCCCCACAGCTCCTTAAAGCAAACTATTCATTTCTGTCCCTAACACCCCGGCAGTTCAAAGCACCCAAAAAATACTCTTACGTAACTTTCACTTCTTAGAAATGCTTTGGTGCAAAGGATCAGAGTAGAGAAAGGCAAACTAACAACAGTCAGGAATCGCACGCAGTGAGTTTCTGGAAACACCAAGGGGTGCTCCCCACAGAGGGAGACGCCATTTTTAGCGGGCTTTTGAACCAAAGAAACTCATTTCATATCAAATCTGCCTTGTAGCCTCAGGGAAGTAGTTTTCTCTCTCTGAGCTTCCTCGTCTATAAAACATCCAGGTCTCTGCTCAGTTACCGCCTCACCAGTGATGCCTTCCCTGCCCATCTATCTAAAAATCACAGCCTCCCTGCCTTGGCTAGTGTGGCTCAGTGGATTGAGTGCTGGCCTTCGAACCAAAAGGTGGCCGGTTCAATTCCCAGTTAGGGCATGTGCCTGGGTTGCATGCCAGGTCCCCTGTTGGGGGTGTGCAAGAGGCAAATGATTGATGTATCTCTCTCACACATCAATGTTTCTCTCTCTCTTCCTCCCTCCCTTCCCCTCTCTCTAAAAATAAATAAATAAAATTGTTAAAATACAGTAAAATCGCAGCCTACCTATCCACTACTCTCTCCATCCTAACCACTTTTATTTTCCCTCACATAATTGCTCACCTCCAGATGTGATTAACTATCGATTGTTCATCTAGTTATTGTCTCTCTCCCCCTTCTCCCTAGCTGTCCTCTCCCCAGCAAGAGGATGGTGTCCTACCTCATACTTCCTTTCTGTTCGCTGCGCCTCTGCTACTCTGACCTCTGTTTGGCTCCCTGAATGCCTTACCAGTGAACGAGCAGAGAGCGGACTGAAAAAGAAAAGAAATTAATAAAAATAGGATGTGACAGGTTTACTAATGAATTCTAACAAATACTTAGGGAAGAAATTATATTCAGTCTCTACAATCTCTCTCAGAGGACAGAAGCAGAGGGGATGCTTCCTAACTCATTCAACTCAGTCAAGATCAGTAGCACCCTGATACCAAACACAGACAAAAACATTACAGAAAACTACTGAACAAGAACATAAAAAGAATTATATAAAAGAATTTTTAAAAGAATGTATAATCAGTGGGATTTATCCCAAGTACATAAGATTGGTTCAACATTGTAAAATTAATTCACGTAGCCCTGGCTGGTGTGGCTCAGTGGATTGAGTGCTGGCCTGAGAACCAAACAGTCGCCCGTTCAATTCCCAGTCAGGGCATATGCCTGGGTTGTGGGCCAGGTCCCCAGTAGGGAGCGTGTGAGAGGCAACCACACATTGATGTTTCTCTCCCTCTCTTTCTCCTTCCCTTCTCCTCTCTAAAAATAAATAAATAAAATCTTTTTTTCAAAAGTGTATTCCTGCCCTGGCTAGTGTGGCTCAGTGGATTAAGTGCCAGCCTGAGAACCAAAGGGTCACCAGTCAGGGCACAAGCCTGGGTTGCCCAGTGGGGTGCACTGGAGAGGCAACCACACATTCATGTTTCTCCCCCTCTCTTTCTCCCTTCCCCTCTGTGTTAAAATAAATACATAAAATCTTAAAAAATAAAAATAAAAAGTGTATCCCTTAAAACAAGTTTTAGGCAGTTTTGTTTGTTTTTGTTTCTTGTTTGTTTGTTTGTTTTGTCTTTGTAAATTGGTCATCTTACCCTTCAGTAAGAGAACTGAGTTTTGGCAAACTGAGACTCTGCAAGCCGGTCACTTGGGGCACCTACAGGGCCCCGTGGTTTCCGGCTGACTCTTCTTCCCAGGCCGGAGAGCTCCTGGTAACGGCCCAGCGGTGCGCCCCCGCATCCTCCCTCCCAGCAATTTGCTCACCTGGGCCCACGCTGAATGGGGAGTGCTCGCGTCTCCCAAAAATGCCCATTTCCCTCCTTCCCTAGAACTAGACCCTCCAAGGAGGAAAGGCCAGAGCTGCTATCCAGGCTCCTCAAGGCGCAGGAAATAACCGTTTGTCCCCAACAGGCGTGTACCGGTTGGACCCCGGGTCTGCTGTCTGGGAACGTAAACCAGTGGGTTTCCCGATGGACAGGGGCTGATGGGTAAACCAGTGGGTTTCCCGATGGACAGGGGCTAATGGTCAAGGCTCGTGAAGGCCGGGGCTTGGCGTTGGCTCAAGGTCACATTCGGTGAGCAAAGGGGCTGGGGCCTACTGGTTGGGCTCCAGAGGAGAGAAAAGGATGGGCCTCTTGAGCCTCTAGATCCCTCGGGTCCAGAGAGGCCGAGACGGCCAGGAGGCTCCAGTCCAGTAACCTGTCACCCCTTGGAGTGAGCCTGGCCTCACACACTGCCCCCCACTCCCCCGCCTCGACCTATGGCCACCATTTGGGGACAGCTAGGGCCAAGTCATCCTCACCCTAGCCTCGAGGTCCGGCCTCTTCAGTCCCGTCAGTTAGGTGAAAACGAGGGTGAAGAAGCAACTGAGCAGCCCAGCGACCCTCTCAGGCCACTGTGAGCCTCGTGAGGCTGGCGCGCTGGACGCTCCTCACTCTGTAGCACCCACCGCCTTTCTTGCAGTTCCCCCGCACATGCGCTCCTCTCCCGTGCCTCCCACGTGACCCAGCAGCCCATTCTGCCCTCTGCCCTTTACAACCCCCTGCCTCCCAGGCTCCCTCCTTGCACCGGCACCCCCACGGGTCCCTGGCTCACGCATGCGCCCGTGCTTCTCTCACTTCACTCTTTGGACCACAGGCCCATCTCCCGCCCCTCCTTCAACACACGCACGCACACTCTCGCGCACGCGCGCGTGCGCGCACACACACGCACGTGCACTCACAAACACACTCTCTCTGTCTCCCTCCCGCCCGCTCCCTCTCTCATAGTGGAGTATTACTCAGCCAGAAAAAAAAACAAAATCCTTCCATTTGCCACGACGTGGATGAAACTGGAGGGCATTATGCTAGGTGAAATGAGCCAAAGACAAAATATTATTTATATGTGAAATATAAAACATATATATTCTTATTGTATATATATTTGTGTTATTATATATTTATTTTATATATTTAGTAACAGTAGAATGGTGCTTGCCAGGGGCTGGAAATGGGGTGACGCAGGCTGAAGGGTACAGACTTGCAGTTCTAAGAAGCAGCAGCCCTGAGGTCCTGATGTACAGCACAGCGTCTACCATTGATCATGCAGTGTCGTTCACTGCAAAGCTGCTAAAAGCAGACCGTTGGTGTTCTCACCCCCCCACACACACACACAGTTAACTATATGAAATGATGAATCTGTTCATTATCTTGAGTTTGGTAATCATTCCACAATGCATATGGTTATCAAATCATCATCTTGTCCACTTTAGATGATATAATCAGATATGGGAATTCCTCAGGAAAGCTGGGGAAGGGAATTCCAGAGTCAGAAATCAGAATAGTATTCATATGAGTTGATTTTTTTAGGACAATAAGAAAACAACTTGCATTTTGAGCCTTTAAAAATAAAAAAGAAAGGATACCAGCCCTGGCTGGTGTGGCTCAGTGGACTGAAAGGTGGCCCGAGAACCAAAAGGCTGGCAATTCGATTCCGCATCAGGGCATGAGCCTGGATTACAGGCTGGGTTCCCATTCGGGGGTGAACAAGAGGCAACCAATGGATGTTTCTGTCTGTCTCTTTCTCCCTCCCTTCTCTCTCTGAAAATAAACAAATAAAATCTTTTTAAAAATTTAAAAATTAGATAGCCCTGGCCTAGTAGCTCAGTTGGTTAGAGCACCATCCTGATACAATGAAGTTGCTAGTTCGATTCCCAGTCAGGGCACAGGCAAGAATCAACCAATGGGGGGAAAAAAAGGTGTGGCTCAGTGACTTGAGTGCCCACCTGCAAAGGTTGCCAATTTGATGTTTCTCACGCAGTTTGATGTTTCTCTTCCTCTCTTTCTCCCTCCCATCTCCTCTCTCTAAAATATAAATAAATCTTTACAAAAAAAGAATCAACCAATGAACATATAAAAAGTGGAACAGCACATCGTTGTTTCTCTCACTCCCCTCTCTAAAATCAATCAAAAAAATTTTTAAAGGACAGCAGAGGAGATCCCTCAGAAGAGAGATCGCTAAGAGCAGCTGGTTTTCCAGGGCTCAGGTGGACGTCAGGATGGCGGGAACATCCCTGACCCACGCCGGGTGTCTTTGAGGATTCACCACTTAACAGGAGTGGGGAGCCGGCGGAGACCTCGGAGGCTGCCGGGCATACAGCTCAGGCCTAGAGACCATCAGGGACAGCAAACCAGGATCTAATTGCCCGGGTCCCAGGCTCAGTCCTGGCTCCTCGGGAGCCACCTCCCCTAGGGGCCCCACCTCGGAGGCAGGAAGTAATGCCCGAGGCTCAGCTTCCGCCCCGGGTGTTTTGGCACTGCCCTGCTGCTCCTCACACTCCCGGGGACCTTCCCACTGGGGGCCTGCAGAACTTTCACTTCCCCCAGGTGCCCAGCCCCTGCCCCTGCCCAGGGGAGCACCTGGCCTGCGCTCTTGCCAAAAACAGGATGCAGACTCTGAGAAAGGGGCAATGACAGAGGCGGGGGTGTGGGGTTGGGGGTCAGTAATCCACAGAGAAGGAGGACAGGCTTGCAGAGAGAAGCGTCCAGAGATCCAGAGAGGGAGAGGATAGAGACCCTGAGGTTGGGGGAGACAGAAACCCGGGGGTGGGGGGGGGGCAGCAGGGACAGAGACTCAGAGAGGAGATAAAGACTCAGAGAGCAGGGAACAGAGGCCCACAGGGGGGAGTACAAGAGACTCAGGAGCAGGAAGAGGTGACAGAGACAGATGCAGAGATGACAGAGCTTAGCAGGCAGTGAGGTCAGAGTGTCTGTGAGGTCGGCTGCTGTCCAGGACCAGCCTGGGGTCCTGGTGCCCAGAGGAAGTGGCTACCAGTAGTAGACCAGGAGTCCCTGTGGGTCCCCTCGGCCTGAACCATGAAGACCTTGGACGGACTGCCCAGCGTGTCTTTGGTGTCCACAAGTCCCATAACCCCTCAGGTACTGGTGTGTGTTGTGTGTGTCCCAGTGGCGTGGGTGAGAGAGACACAGTCAAACCACCTAGTGTGAAGGGGGAGGGGGTGGGGCTCTACCCGGCACTTCCTCTTTCTCTGTGTTCTTCCTTTCCCCGTCTCTCAGCCTCTCCCTGTGCTGTTCAAGCCTCCTTTCTCCCTCTCTCCCTGCTGCCAAGCCCTCTTCCGGGCACTCACCCCTGCAGGCGAAGATGTCCTCAGCCCAGGAAAGCTGCCTCAGCCTCATCAAGTACCTCCTCTTCGTCTTCAACCTCTTCTTTTTCGTGAGTTGTCTCCTGGCCACCCAGCCTGGGCACCCCATCCTCGCCACAGCCGCCACACCTCGTGTCCCCCCTTGCCCACCACCTTGTTTTCATCTTCCCTGCCCAGGTCCTCGGCAGCCTGGTTTTCTGTTTCGGGATCTGGATCCTTGTGGACAAGACCAGCTTCGTGTCATTTGTGGGTGAGGGGGCCGGGGCCGTCTGGGAGGGCCTTCCTGGAGCACGCATGGATCCAGCCTCCCTGCAGGTGGTCTCCTGGGGTCTCCCTTGTCCCAGGGAGCCCCCGCGGCACCCAGCTCCCTGGGCAGCTCCCAGGCCCTGCTGCCGCGCCTCTCCAAGCCTCGGTGTCTTCCTCCGACAGATGAGTTATGTGCACCAGTGAGAACAACAATAGTCATTCCTCCAGCCCTTCCTCTGGGTCAGATCCCTTGCAGGGGCTCAGTTCACCCTCCCAGAACCCTCTCCTGAGGCTGAGAGCAGGGAAGTCACATGGGGGGCGTCACACAGCAAGGAAGTAGAAGTGCAGCTCTAACACCAATAATAATAGTAGGAAAATAACAATGGGGCAATAGTCACACTCTTGGTAGCTTCTATTGAATAAGTACTCACCCTGCATTGAGGACTGGGTTGAGCACAGGCCCCCTGGGGTTTCCCTCGGAACAACCCCAGGAAATAGATATCATAATCCCTTAGGCTTCAGGGAGGTCCAGTGGGCAGTGTCCCAGAACAAGGGATGGGGCTGAAACTGCCCGGAGTGAGGAGGAGCTGGAGGAGGAAAGAGGGACAGAAAGCAAGAAGGAGAGACTGCGAGTGGAAGGGAGGGAGAGGGGCAGAGACTCAGCATGGGGCAGGTGCGCTGGGAGCCCAGAAACAGGCCCCCCAGGATTCTGCTCCCCACTGCTCAGGTGGAGAAAGGGTCTGCCTGGAGTTGTGCGCAGAAGACCCAATGTCACCGTCTCTCATCCTCCCCCCCAGGCTTGTCCTTCATGCCCCTGCAGATCTGGTCCAAGGCCCTGGCCATCTCTGGAATCCTCACCATGGGCCTTGCCCTTTTGGGCTGTCTGGGGGCCCTGAAGGAGCTCCGCTGCCTCCTGGGCCTGGTGAGTGCCTTGCCCCTGCTCCATCTCCTGGGACCACCCCTTTTCCCCCCTCAAATAGAACCCCTGCGACCTGGGGAGATGCTCAGCCTGATTGCTCTACTTTGCCCCTCAGTATTTTGGGATACTGCTGCTCCTGTTTGTCACACAGATCACCCTGGGGATCCTCATCTCCACTCAGCGGACCCGGGTGAGCTTTCCTGCCCCCCCCCACCCCCAGCAGCCAGTGGGTGGGGGGTGGCAAGAGAAACAGAGGCAGACAGGGACTGACACACAGAAATAGGAAAGGCAGAAGAGAGAAACAGAGCCACAAAGACAGAACAGATGCAGAGACTGACAGAGAGGCACACAGGTGGACACAGGCAGAGAGAGACAGACGCGGAGGAAGACAGACATAGCAAGAGAGATGAGATCCAAAGGGAAACAAACAAACAAAAAAAAAAAAAGGAGGAGAAAACACGCGGAGAAACAGAGGCTCGGAGGGAGACACAGACACCTGATGAGAGATCGCGGGAAAAAGCGAGAGGAACAAACACAACAGAAACGGGTAGAGAGAGGTTTTGAGGAACAAAGACACAGGTAGTCATTCAGTGAGGACCCGGTGCTGGCGTACAGTTGCTCAGGGACCCCTTGGGGCTGAGAGAGCTGGGAGTGGCTGGAGTAGGTGGGGCGCAGATGGGGTAGGGAGGCACTGGGGGTCCATCCTCACTCTCAGCCTCTCAGCTGGAGCGGAAGGTGAAGGACATCATACAGGAGACGATCCAGAACTACTACGCCAACCCGGAGAATACCGAGGCAGAAGAGAGCTGGGACTATGTGCAGTTTCAGGTTTGTGAGAGCCTTGGCCCCAGAAGGAGCAGCCCCCCTTCTAGCTCTGGGGCTCCAATGTGGCTCTGCCCTCTACCTGGAGAAGACTCTGTCCTGTCCCGGGACCCTGATGTAACCCTATCTACCCAACCCACCTACTGCCGTGCCTGACCTGGCCTCACATAATAACTGGCCCCCGTGTGGCCCAGTTGCCAGCCTCCCCCATCCAGACCCTGAAAAGGTTTCATCCCCTGCCTCGAGGAGACTCCAGCCTCTACCCCAAGGTGGAGATCCCACCAGTGTGATCCCACTCCTTGCCCCTAGTGACTCTGGGTCCCACAGGGTCCAGCCCTCCTGAGGCTCTATTCCCTGGTCACTGATGTGGCCCCACCCTCCCATCCACCTGACCCCTAACTGAAGCTGAATTGCCCACCTAGTCTTCCGTCCCCAAGGTGATTCTGCAGCTTCTCCCCAGCCGCAGGTCGCCTGGTGATTTGTTTCTCCCAACCCCATGTTCCCCTAGCCCTGGCCCTGTGGTGACTGACCCCAGCCCAGCCCACCGTCCTCCGTCCTGCACCCACTACTCAGCCCTCTGCTCCCAAAGAGACCACCACCACCTGTTCCCCTCATCCCCCAAAGTCATCTAGCGTCCCTCCAGTCCTGGCCCCTCTGACTCTGTCCCTCTCCCAGCTGCGCTGCTGCGGCTGGAACTCTCCTGAGGACTGGTACCGTGTCCCCAGCCTGAGCAGCAACGAGTCGGTGTACCATGTGCCCTGCTCCTGCCGTAACTCATCGGTGACCAACGACTCCTCAGTCTTGGATATGATCTCCCCGACCCAGTTCAGCCGAATTGGACCACTGGCCCGGCCCCAGCACAGTACAGAGCTTTGCGTGGTCCCTGCAAACAGCAATACCTATCGCGAGGTGGGAAGGAAAGCGGCCTAAAGGGGAGACCTGCTGGGAGGGGCGTGGTCCCCCCCCCCCCAAAGCCGGGGCCACAGCATATGGGTGGGATCTGCTAGGAGGGTGGGGCTACGAGGTAGAACTATACAACCCGAGGGGCGGAGCCTGTAGATGGTGTGGGTTCTAAGAAAAGATATGGCCTAGAGAAAAGGGGTGGATCTGGGATGTTGATGTAGGGAGGGGTGGGCTTATTCCCCGCGAAGAGACTAGAGTACGCTGGTCACTAGGGAAGAGGGGCGAGAGCGAAGCCCAGAAAAAGCCCTAACTTTAACCTTTCTCTGCATTCCTAGGGCTGCTCGCGGAGCCTGCAGAAGTGGTTGCACAACAACCTCATCTCCATCGTGGGCATTTGTCTGGGCGTCGGTCTACTCGAGGTAATCTGGTCTCAACCTCACTCGGGATTGGCTGTACAATCAACCCCCAAATAGCCCCGCCCCAAATGCACGTCCTCCTCTCGGCGCAAGTGGCCCGAGTGCTAGAGCGTCAGCCAATACAGGCTGTTCTGCCGCTCCACCTGCGGTGAGATTCAGCCTGTGAGCCCTGATTGGTTGAACTCAGGGAGCTATCCCACCCTTTCTCGCGAGGCTCCCATTGGCTCTCCTCCGCCGATCAACCTCCTTCTATTGGCCGCAATATCCCTCCCCTTTTCCGGCAGGTGAGTGTGGCGGGGCTGAGCCTGCTAGTGCCACGCAGAGCGCTCCGCGGGGAACCGCCACCGCAGGTGCCGGCCGCCGACGGTTGGTGCCCCGGGCCCGGCCTGAGCGCCGATGGCGGTGGCGTGCAGAGCGGCAGCGGGCGTAGCGGCAGTCTGTGGGGTGGCTGGGGCATGGCGGATGCTTGCCCCAACTGGGGGGACAAGGTCCCACAGGGCAAGCTGCCCATGGCTCTGGGGCCCTGGCCGCTTTGGGAGCAAGATGAGGAACAGCCTGAGACCCGGAGCACGGGCGCGGAGGTGGAGGCCGAGACGGAATTACAGGCGGAGGCAGAAAGGGAGACAGATGAGCCTCCAAAATAAAGGACCCCTGGGGTTGCTCCTGATCTCACTCCTTTGCAGACTCTAGACCTGTTAGACGCAGCTGGGTTCCTCGTATCCCACCCTAGTCCCATGCCCCCGGCCCTTCCATGACCTCCAGCCCTTTTACCCTTAACCCCACCTCTCTCATCTTGCCCCAAACTCCCGTCCTACACCTCATCTTTACCACCAGTCCCGGTTCTCCCTCTAGCCCCGCCCCGCCCCATTCTCGGCCTCCTTTTCTTTCCCGGTCCCACCCCTCGACTTTCCTCCCTGAGAACCCCCACTACCCCACCCCGCCCTCGTCGCCACCCCCTCTCCGCCGCTCTGATGGCGTCTCCTTTCTCTGTAGCTCGGCTTCATGTCGCTGTCCATATTCCTGTGCAGAAACCTGGACCAACTCTACGACAGGCTCGCCCGGTACCGCTAGGCCCCGCCCTCCCCAGAGACCCACCCGGCCCCTTCCCAGACCCCTGTAAATATTTGTTTAATCCCCAGTTCTCCCCAGCCACTGAGCCCTAAGGCTCCTCATTCCCCCCTGGGACCCAGGTGTCTGCCTGCCCCACTGCTGTCCCCAATCTCGTGGGACCTGGGGCTTCCTGCCACCAGCTTCCTGCCCCCAAAGATACCTCATTTCTTTGACTCATCTGTCAGCCTACCACTTCCCACAAGATTATTTTCACCCAAACCTCAAATAAATCCCCTGAGTCTTGGTAAAATAGCTTTATCCTCTGTCAATACACAAACCAATACAACTTGGGGGTGGGAGGTGGGGGTGGGAGGTGGGGGGGTGCGGCGTGGGGCAGATGGACAATACAGTAGCCCATGGCTCATGTAGAAGACGGGATGACATTAAACAGCCTCACCCCACTGCTTGCCCAGCTGAGAAACAAGTCATGATTCTAACACCATTTATAAATATCTTGTTATATTAAAAAACAACAACAACAACAACACACATTTCCAGGGCCCAGCTGGCTCTGCTCCTGCACAGAAAGGATTAACCTTCAATATTCAGTATCAGGGTCACAGGGTGTGAGGGTGGGAAGGAGAGGCAGATTTGGGGGGCGGGGGCTGAAACACAGAGGACAAGCCAGTCTGCAATTAGGGCCCTCCAACGCATCCAGAACCTTGGGAGGGGGGAAGCCCCCCCCCGCCGTTAGAGACTCAGAAACCAGTGCTCTACCCTCAGGGCTGCTCCTGTCCCCAGTCCCTGATGCTCCGGAGTGATCCGTCCCTTTCACACACCCCTGCGAGGTCCCGTGATCAGAAGCTCTCCTTTCCTCTCAGTCCCAGCCCATTCAACTCACCACCCAGCTTTCAAGGTCCCTCCTGCCAGGGAGCAGCCCCCTCCCCAAATAAGAAGCCCGAGGAAAGCTGGAGGTCCTTCCTAGGAGGAGGGTATTTCCTCCTGGGGGTGATCCGCTTCCGGGGTCCCCCTTCAGTCCCTGACCAGACGATAAATGTGGTGCTGGGCCCCTCGCTCACTGGTGGAGACTTCGAAGACATAGGCGGTGCACAGCAGCAGCTCCTGGGTGTCTCTGTTTGTCACCACCTGCCAAGGGGCCAGGAGGAGGGGTTTGTGCTTGGGAGAGAGAAGGGACCACTGTGCCCCCCCCTCAGTTATCACGGGATACCCAGAAAAGGGGTCCCACCACATCACATTCCCCAGGTGAAAGAGGGCCCCAGGTCAGTTTCCCAAACGTGAAGGGGACCCCACCATATCAGGTTTCCTGGACCAAGGCTAGGTTCCCTGTAAAGGGGGTCCCCTTAGCTAAGGATCCGCCATGAGTCCTCCTGGTCAGTTTCCCCAGGGAAGGGGGATCCCTCATGAGCATGCTGCAGAGCCCCCACCACATCAGTTCCCTGAGTAAAGGGACCCCCTAAGCCAAACATCAACCACAGGGTCGCCACTGCACCAGCTCCCCAGGAGAAAGGGCCCCTGGGGCCAAGAGTCTAGGGGGGGCACTCCCAGCCCCAGCACGTCACCTGGAGGATGGTGAAGTTCTCCAGCACACTGTTCATCATATAGCGCTCGGGCAGCTGCCGCAGCTTGTGCAAGAAATTCACTAGGTACTCGCACATGGGCGAGCGCAGCAGGCGGTACACGAACCTCCCATCCTCTAGCTGGGCACGCTCCGTCTGAGCCAGGGGGTGGGGAGTGGAGAGGACAGTGACGGAGACACACAGGGGTCACCCCAGGAACCCAGCCCCACTCTGTGCCCTTCAGGTGCCACACCCACTCCCCACTGCCATCTTCCCTCTTCCATGGCCCCATTGGCAATGACGGGACACGGAACACTGAACCCTCCGGTATCCAACTCAGGACCACTAAGCCTGCAAACCAGAGACCCTCCAGCCCCTCAAAGCCATGCTCTGAACCCTCATGACCTCTGAACTCTGATCTCCAATACCCTCACCCTCCAAGGACCCTTCAACGAGACCTCCAAACTCTCTGACCTCTGAACTTAAGACCATGCAAGTCTTCCGCAACCTAACTATGACCCCTGAACTTCCTTGCCCTATGAGTTCTTCTAGATTCAGAAGAACCTTTCGAATCTGTGACTGTAAATCTGTCCCACTCATCACCTCTGCACCCTCTAACTGATCCCTACCTGCGACTTGAGAATGCCATATCAGCTCGAAGCCTATGCATTAAGCCCCCCAATGCCTGAGTCTGGGACACTGCCCCACCCCACCATGAAGACTCCCCCAAAGCCGGAGCTGTTGTGGCTCCGGGTCCACTGAGTCTGCACCCCCAAAGTGTCAGCCCACCCAGAGCCCCACCCCTCTGGCCTCACCTCCACCTTCTCCACCACCTGCTTGCCGAAGGAGCAGACCTTGGAGGAGCAGGTGAGCGTCATGTGCTCCAGGCTCTCGTACTGGCTGCTCACACCGTAGAAGCCACCACTGCTGCCGCCAGCCCCGACCTCCTCACCGCTCGGGCCCCAGTTCAGGTCCGCCTGGGGGTGGAGAGACACAGGTGACAGGTATAAGGTGGAGGGGACGTCTTTTATACACGGTGGGGACTCTTCTAATGTGACAGCTCTGCCCCATGGCCGCTGTAGTTGCCGGCCTCGCTTCCTCTGTGTTCCAAGGGCCAGTTTCTGGAGAAGACCCACCCTTCCGTTGCTGCTGCAGAAGTCTGAGCCCCCCAAATGACCCTGACTCTCTCTCCCTAGTGAGTCCCCTGCTAAAGGAGCCCTGGGATTCACCTTTTCGCTCCTGACACCCTCCTCTCAAGGGCCCAGCCCCTTCTAAGGGCCAGGTTACTAAGGAGGCCATCACTCCCTAGCAACCGGAGGCTCTCCTTCAGAGGCCTTCCCCACCCTGGTTGCTAAGACAAGGGGCTGCTCCCTAGCAACGGGGCCTAGGAAACCCTCACTCCTCACCAGAACACTCTTCCGGGCCCTTTCAGCTGATTCACAGAGGTCAGACCGCTCCTCGACCCCCTGTGGCCAAGATGGGCCATTATGCCAGGTGGGGTCTAATGAAGTGCAAGACTTCGTATGCCTGTGGCTTAAGCCCCTTGGTCAGCTTCCTGGAAGGCACACCTCTTCCTCTTCCTCACTTTCAACTTGACCAGGTCACTCTCCAGGGTGGTCCAGGCCTGACTCCACCCCTCAGCCTGGCAGCAGGGCCTTGTGAAGCCAGACAAAAAAGGGAGGCCTTTCCAGCCACTCCCGAGCATCCCTGCAGATGCTGGCGGCTTCTAAGGGCCACTCTCCGGACCTGGGACCTGCGAGGCCTGTGTTAAGCCCTGACAATGCCTACCACCTCCACAGCACATGCCCAGAACTGCCTCGGGCCTCCAATTCACACTCTGGAGCCCTTCCTAACCCCTGTCTCTTGGGTCCAGCAAGGCCAGCAAACTTCAGGCCCTCAGCAGGCTTCCTTCTCAGAGACTAGACCCTTCCATGGCCCTGGTTACCTCGAGAGCTAAAACACCCTCCTGACCACACTGAGTGAAGCTCTATAGCATCAGCTACTGTGCTAGACACGAAACCAAATAGGCTGAAGAAAGACCCCAATGGATCCTCTTTCTCACAATTATACACATAGCACCTGGCATTGTATATAGTAAGCACTCAATAAATGACTGTTTAATAAACACGGGACTTCACAAAGCCGCTCCCCAGCCCCTTAAATGGTATCCTCACGGCCAGGCATTCTCTAACAACGGGATCTGCTGGGACTTGGCATCCGTCTTAGAGGCCACCCTCACCAGGACTCCATTTGCTAAGGGGGGAGGGCATCCCTTAGCAACCAGGCTTGGTACAGTCAGGTGGGAGGTAGGGGAATCTGAAACGACACAACCCCCAGGGCCATAGCAGTCACAGGACTGGGTGTGGCAGAGTCTAGCGGGAGCAGGGGAAGTCCCAATCCTGTCCCTCCGCTGACACTGGTCCCCGGGGGCCAAACTCCTTAGTTCCCCCTGTGGCAAAGGGAGCTGATACTCTGGGACCAGGCTGGCCTGGTGGAGCCAGAGGCCTTCACTGGGAGACCATGTGATGTGTGAGCACTTCTGGTTTTGGTGGCAGAACTCACCCAAAACTTGACCAGAAAGAAGGCATGGGGGGGCCCACGGTCGTACAGCTCCCGCAGACCCCCCTTCTTCTCAGGGAATTTGTCATAGATCTGCCGGACGTCCACACTCTCGAGGGGGGGCGCTCCAGGGCTGGGGCAGTGCTGGCTGATGTGGACGAACAGGTGCCTCTGGTACTGGGGGGGAACAGCCACAGGTGGGGGGGGGTGGGCAGGAGCCATGGCTCACACTGCCCAAGCTAACCTCACACCCCTGTCGCCGCCCCCAGAGCTCCTGACAGCCAGCTCCACCCAGACACTGCGCCCAACTTTCAGGCACTGTCACCACTCCCTTCTGCCCCTTCGTTCCCACAGTACCTCAGTCCCCAAGCCCTGTCCCTGCAGCTCAACTCTCTGCCCTGCCACCTGCTCTCTGTCCTCACAGCCCTGTCCTCTCCCACTTTCAACCCCACCTCCTATGTGGCTTCCCAGCCTCCAGTCTCTCCTCCCCGGTTCATCAGGCACATGGCTCCAGAGCCAACCCTCAACCTCTCCTGCTCATAATCTTCCCATGGCTCCCCAGTGCCCCCAGGACAAAGCCCAAACCCCTCCACCCGGCTATATTTTGAACAGTTGTTCATAAATCTTCCATCAGTGGATGGATGGATGGATGGATGGAGGTGAATCCACACAGCCCACACCAAGACTTCCTCTCTGTTGGCATTCTTATCTCTTTACTTCTAATCCATATCCTGAAACCTTCCCCATCTTTTCTTCTGATACAAATCCTCCTCCATCTTTCCAGATCACACACATCTACTTCTTTCTGGAAGCCTCCACTAACCACAAACAGATGGGATCTCACTACCACCTCCATAGTTCCCTGCCACCAAGAGAGAAAGTCTGGTTCCCTCAGCCTGGCAATGCCAGCTCTTCCAGAACCAGCACCTGCCCACCTGTCCACAGCCTCACCAGCTTCCCACCCTAGTTGGTGATTTCTTACCACGATGGCTGCAACGCCGTTTGCATCTCTGTGCCTGAAACATCCAGTTCTGCGCACGGCAAACTCCTAGGTAACCCTCAAAGCGCAATTCAAATGTCTCACCTCAGGGAAGCCTTCCCTGGTTCTCCAGGCAGAATCATGCCTCTGTACACCCACGAAAACTTGACCTTCCCCCCTCCCAGCACATAGTCGTTATTCAACAGACAGCTACCGAGAATCTACTGTCCAGAGGCACTACTCTGGGTCCCAGAGCTACAAGGTCAAGTCCCTAATCTCCTGGAGCTCACAATCTACTGGCAGAGGCAGAAAAAATTTTTAATCATTTTACGGATAACACAAATTGCAGAAAGTTATGTATGCTATGAAAAAAAACCCTGATAAAGCATAGTAAGGGGGTGGGGAGGGATGGCAGTTCGTGTTTTCCGTAAGGCGGTCTGGGGAAGCCAACCTGAGAGGATAATCAAGCAGGACCCCAGATGGAGGCACGGGTGGTGGGGGAGAGAGCCGGGAAAGCACGTGCCAGGCAGCAGGAGCAACAGATGCAAAGGCTCTGAAGCCGGAGTGGGCCTGGCATGTTTGAGAAACAGTGCGGAGGCCAGTATGGCCAGGGCAGAGCAAACGAGGGTGAGAGTGCAGGAGGTGAGGGCAAAGCAGGAACGGGGGTCAGATTGTGCAGAATTTTGTGGGCAAATAAAGGACTTGAGCTTTTCCTCCAAGTGAGATGGGAGGGTTTTAATCTGGTCTGACTCAGGTTTTACCAAGACCACTATATAGAGAAATTGGTTTTTGTGTGGCTACTGCAGACTGTGTGTTCAGAAACCCTAGTTCCTTTCCACATAGCTCAACTACATTTCCCAGACTCCTCTGCAGTTATGTGTGATCACATGACTAAGTCCTGGCCAATGGGGTGTGAGCAGACCTGATAGTTGCCACTTCCAGGCCAGACCTATAAAATCTCCTCACTCTTTCCCTTCCACCATCTGCCAGCCAGATGCAGAGAATCCAGCAGCAGATTCTGAAACCCTAGAAAATGGCAGAGCCACAAAATGGAAGAAGCATAGATTCCCCGCATCACTGTGTGGAAAGCTCCTGGTGACCACCCACACTGAAACGACACGAGTGAGCAATTTCTGTGATGTTCAGTCCCTAGGTGTTGGGGTTATTTCCTCTGTCATCTCACCCTGACTCATATGGCCTCTGTCTCCATCCAAGGTCAGGAAAAGCTCGAACCTAGAAACAAGATCTGCTTTTGCAAGTTCCTGGTGTGCCCCCCAGAGCCTGGTACACAGTGGGCACCCAGAGGTGTTTGATGAATGAACAAATTATGTTCTGGAGAGTTTCTCTGACCTCCTGAACCCATGACCTCATGACCTTCCAGTTCCTCTATGCTAGGAGCTGTCAGGGTGTGGTCCTCCAACCAGCAGCAGCAGCATCACCTGGGAGCTTGTAAGAAATGCAAATTCTCAGGCCCCCAGCAAACCTACTGAATCGCATATTCTGAGAGTAAGGCTCAGCAATCTGCGTTTTAACATGTCCTCCACATCATTCTGATACATGCTAAAGCCTGAGAACCACTACTTTATCCTTTCTCTTCCCATAACCCTCTACATTCCAAAACACCCACAGCGACTGTCCCAGATTTGCACTCACAGAGTCAACTGCATCCGGGGGTTCCACAAAGGCTGAGAATTCCACCAGCTGTAACCGGGCAGTGCCCAGGGCCCGAGCCTGCCAGGCTGGGGGTGATGGGGCAGGTGGGGGCAGGGCAGGGGGTGAGAGGGCTTGGGGGGGCTCGTACCCTAGAGAAAGAAGAACAAACAATAAAAATTGCTAACATTTATGGAATATATCAAGCACTGTTCTCTCTTGCCTGCCTCCACTTAGAAGCTGAAAAAGCTAAATACTCACTTTCCCAGCCTCCCTTGCAGCTAGAGGTGGCCATGTGACACAGTCCTGGCCAATGAGACGTTAGGGGAAATCTGCTCGGGGGCTTCTGGGAAGGAGTTTCTTCCTGAATGAAAAAGACAGAACTTTGGGAGGCAAAAGCTTTTGGTTCTTGTCAAGTCCAGCTTGGGACATGATGCCTGGAGTCACAGTAGCCATCTCAGTGAGCAGAGGCCAAGGGACCTATAGAGATGCTAGTCTTGATATTGCTTAACTGCTCAGCCAGCACATTAGCAGCCCACCTTCAGATTTTTGTTATGTGGAATCATTAAAACCTTTTTATTTTTGGCACTATTAATTTGAGCATTGTTATTTGCAGCCGAGAGTATTCCTAACTGATGAGTCTGTGGAACCTAAGTGTGATTTTTTTTATTAATGTGAGTTCACAGGACCACATCAGCATGGATTTCTGGAAGTCTACTTTGCAGCCAGATGGGTAGAGCCTGCCTGAGGATGAAGCCACCAGAAGAAGGAAGAACCAAACAAGTCCTGAGGCTACCAGTTGAACCCCTGGATCCAGCCATACCTGAAGCTCTAACTCCTGAAATATTAGTTACTAGTACCAATAAATTCCATTTAATTGTTGTTGTTGTTGTTGCTTTTGTCATCTAGCTTGATTTGAGTTTCTGTCACTTGCAGCTGAAAGAATCTTGACTAATACACCTCCCAGTGTCCCTTAGGCTAGCAAGTGACAAACACAAACCCAGCATGTCCGGCTACAAATTCTGTCACTCATCCTTCCACACCCCCACACACCCTGCCTCAGAGCTGGACGTCACTAGGAATGAGTCCCCCAATGCATGGAAGGTTGAAGGAAAGACAGGGGTGACAAGAGAGACAGGAGATCAGGGAGGGTGGAGAGCAGACTCTTACCTGGGAGGTCCGTAGATGGGGGAGTCAGTGACAAGGAGAACGGTGTCTGCGAGAATGGCTTCACACTGAGGGAGAAAGGAAGCTGAGGGTCAGCGGGTGGAATGATGCTAATCACGATGCTGATCATACCAGCTACTGTGTACTGAGGGGTCAGAACAAGCTGGACCCTGTACTACATGTGATGTGAACACGTTTATCAAAGTGTCACACCAATGACGTAGGTGTGATTACTGCTCTTCTCACTTGCACAAGAGAAACCTGAGGCACTCGGGGGTCAGCAGGCCCACCCAGTTCCACAGCTGGGTGCAGTGCAGCCTGGGCTTGGACCAGGTCAGTGCCAACCACGAAGCCTGGGGTCTTGATGATAGTGGGGTACCTCTCACAAAATGGCTGAAAGAGAACAGAAATGGAGTCTCAGCAGGTGGGGAGAAGAAGAGGAAGTCTGGAGAAAGAGGAGGCTGAAGGGTCAGAAGGGTGGGGAGAAAACAACCAGCAGCCCAGAAGTGGGGCATCAGGCCAAACCCTGGGGTGAGGCAGCTTCACAACAGAATCCCACACACTGTGTCCAGGAGAAATGTCTGCAGCGAGCCCTGGCTGGTGTGGCTCAGTGGATTGAGAGCTGGACTGCGAACTGAAGGGTCGATGGTTCAATTCCCAGTCAGGGCACATGCCTGGGTTGCAGGCCAGGTCCCCATTTGGGGAGGAGGCAACCACATATTGATGTTTCTCTCCCTCTCTTTCTCCCTCTCTTCCCCTCTCTAAAAATAAATAAATAAAATTTTTTTTAAAAAGTCTGTGATGATGGAAATGTTCTATATCTGTGCCATCCAATACTGTAGCCACTGGCCACATGTGACGAATGACCACATGACCTATGACCACTGCCTAAGAAACCGAAATTTTTATTTCATTTCATTAGAATTAACTTAAATTTCAATAACCTCATATGGCTAGTGGCTATAGTATCTGATAGCATATCTCTAAAGGCCAATGACCTATTAGTATCCCAGGAGATGGTGGTGGGGAGACTGAGAGGTCAGAGGTCAGGGGGCATGAGGTCAGAGGTCAATAAGAAGCCAAAGGTCCAAAGATCAAGATCAGAAAGATACAAATTCCAGGGGCTTTCAGGCATTGACTCCCAAGGCCCTTGACCTAGTCCTTGCCATCCTGTGTCTGAAATCCAAACTCCAGAACCCTACCACAGACTTAACCTCTTGTTACTAGGCCACTGCCCACACGCCACCTCCTCAGAGGCCCCCCTGACTCCTGTCTAAATACAGCACACCCACCCTGCTGTATTTTCCACATTTATTCCCCTCTTATTGACGCTGATATCCTTGTTTACATGTTTACTGTCTGTCTCCTCCCCTCTCCAAGTATAAAAGCTCCAAGAAGGCAGGAATTCTCTCTAACCTGTTCGGTGCTATGTCCCCAAGGCAAGCAGAGTAACAGGCACTTAATAGCTGCTCAGTAAACATTTCACTGACTGACCAATGGCTTAACACTGGCCTTCTCTCAGTTCCTGAAACTCACCCAACTTCCCTAACTCAGGGCCTTGGCACATGCTGTTTGCTCTGCCTAAAATATTCCCATCCCCACTCTTCCCCCTGGCGAAGTCCTACTCAGCCTTCAATGTTGTATCCTCAGAGGAATCCCCAGACCTCTCTCTTCACCCCAGGACCTTCATGCCACATCACACACGCCCTTCCATTTTGTGTCTGTGCACATGATCTAATGCACATCCATCTCCCCAATTTGACTGACAGCTCCACGAGAGGCGGAGCCCCAGTGACCCATGCAGTGCGTGCTGAACTACCCTTCTTCCAGATCAGCCTCCTTCCCGGCACACCTGTGGCTCCTTCAGCTCTGGGGACTTGTTCGGACCCTTCCTGTGTCCCCACCCCACAGCACCCTCCCAGTGAACTCTCTTCTCTCCCACCCTGGAGATCCCACAGCCTGTCACTTACTCCTTCTCTGGTAACACCCTCAACCCTCCTGCCTCATGGTCCAGAGGCACGCAGCCTAGACCCACTGACTCCTTTCTGGGCCAAAAACTGTACTTCCCATGTGCCCCTGGAGCCCATTTCCATTCTTCTAGGCTAGACACATACCCTGTCACCCTCATGGCCCTCTCAGACACTGGCTCACTGGCTCATACTCATGGCTAAAAAGGACACTCCTAAGCCCTGGCTGGCATAGCTCAGTGAACTGAGCATGGGCTGCGAACCGAAGTGTCACAAGTTTGATTCCCAGTCAGGGTACATGCCTGGGTTGCAGGCCGTGACCCCTAGCAACCGCACATTGATGTTTCTCTCTCTCTCTCTCTCTCTTTCTCCCTCTCTTCCCTCTCTAAAAATAAATAAATAAAATCTTTATAAAAAAAGACACTATTTACCTCTGAGGCCCATTTTCTTCCTTCTGACTCTGAGAGAAGATAAGGACCCCTGCTCAGACCAAAGAAACACCTCTATGGGATGAGAACACACTTTTCCATGAGCCTCTGGGGCTCCACTCAACCCTTCCAGGAGACTCTGGACCTATAGCTGCCTTTCCCATGAGCCTCTGGGGCCCAGCCAACCTCACTAGAAGGCCACTGTCCCCATGGACATCCTCCCGGTCTCCCACGTTCATCAAGACCCAGCTGAGCTCACTTTTTCCCAAACACACTCCTCCCCCCGGTTGCACATCTCGGGACAGTCCCACTAACCCCAGGCACCAGCCAGAGCTCAGGCGCTGTCCCTGTCCCCTCCCTCCTTCTCAGCCCAACAGGCCCCAGCACCATCCCCCTCCTCCTCCTGACTTTCCCTGCCCGGCCCCTCTCAGTATCCTAGTCTTCCTCTCCAGCCAGACCATCGTCCCCTCACCCTCCTGCCTGGGTTCAAATCCAGGTAGCCTGGCTCCAGAATCCCTGTTCACAGGGCAGCTGGGAATTAGGAGGTGGGGTGAGAAAGGCCTGTGGGAGAGAGTGGAGGTGGGAGACGGGTGCAGAGGCAGAACACAAAGTACTCACTCTGGAACATTCCAGGGGGTCCCAGAGCTCCCTGACCAAAACTGGAAAAGCTCAGAGGCCTGGAGGTGAGACAAAGGTGGGGGATCAGCCAGTTAGTCCCCTGTTGAAACTGCACCCCCCACCCTCCAGCCCTGAACCCCACAGTCCCCAACCCAAGCCACCTGAGGACCAGCGGGACCCAGTTTGGCCTGCAGGGAAGGGGCCGAGATGAGCTGGGCCGAGGACATGGTGGCCATTGTCTGGAACGCCTTGTCCTTGGAAACCTGGTCCTGGAGGAGAAGTCGAAGGGTCATGTCAATGGGGAGTTCCAGTAGCCACAGTGAGGGTGGGGACAATGACAGGGCAGGGTAAGCATGGGGAGGTCAGAGTTGGGGGTTCAAGGAAAAGGAATGTCTGGGTTCAGGAGGTGGGTGGGAGGATGGGCAGTGGGACTTACCACATTCAGGGCCTGCCCGTGGGGGTGGGGGAGGATGGCAAAGAAGAAAAGAAAACATGATTTAGGAAGTGAGGCCTGGACACCCCACACCCCACCTTGCTGCCCTGCCAACCTGACAGCCCCGCCACCCTGAGCTGGGCAAGGAGAGGAAGGCAGAATGAAGGACGAATATGCAAAAGAGGGGGCCAGGCGCAGACGGGAAAAGAGGTTCCCAAAGCCCAGAATAAAAGACGGTTATGAGGGTTTCTAAGTCAATAAAGAGCCAGACAGAAGTGAAGGTTTCCGGAGAAGCAGGCAACAGGAAATGAGAATTTCAGACCCGGGGGGGATAGGCGGTGAACGTTTCATAGCCAGGACAGGACAGAGGGGAACAGTGAACTCCAGACAAGACCGGAGGGAAGGTGTTTAGACCTAGAGAGAAAGGGACGGGATGCTTCTGGGTACAAATGAAAGGAACAGGAAGTGGTGGTCCCCACATCCAAAGAAAGAGACAGACAGAAGAGACTCCATACTCAGGAGGCCCAGAGGGAACAGGACATGCAGGGGAGCAAGAAACGAACAGGGATGTCAAGAGCTAGGAAAGGAGACGAAGCAATCTGGTGCCGAACAAATGGGCAGCCCACACAGAGACAGGGAAAGGGGAAGGTGAACCAGCAGGACAGGAGGAGACCTGCAGAGCCCAGGCGGGAAACAGCAAGGAGGACGCCAGGAAGAGCAAAAGGGAAGATGGGAGAGGAGAGGGAGGCAGAAGACAGCAGTAGCTGGAGGAGAGGCCCGGCGCCCCATCCTTCTTGCCTTTCCCAAGGTAAATCCCTGCACCCCTCTGTCTATGGATCTTTCCAGACCCCAGGGTTGAGATCCACCCCTCCCCCGCTCGCTGCACCGCTAACCCGCCTACCTTGGGTCTCTGCTCCCCCTATTCTGTCTACCCTTTTGTGTGGATCCGTTCCCATGTATTGGTCTCTGTCCCACACCCTGGTTCTCTGTCCCCCTTCTCTGGATCTCTGTTACCCCCCTAAGTCCCTGTCCCCTCCCTCCAGGTCCCCCTCTCTCTAAATCCCTGTCCTCTCTCTCTGGGCCCCTGTCCCCTCTCTCTGGACCCCTGTTGCCCTCTCCGAATGTCTCCTTTGGTCTCTACCTTGAGCTTGGACTGGATTTCCCTCGATTTCCTTCGGGCCAAAACCTGGATGTGACTAGAGACCTGGAGGGAGTGGCAAAGGAGGAGATTCAGGCCTGAGTGACTCGCCTCTGGCGTTCCCCGCCCCTCTCCTCCCTCCGGGTGCCCCACGGAGCTGCTGGAACATGAGACACGACACACCCGGCATGCTCGCTGTCTCAGGAGTATGCCAACACAGATGTGACCAAAATGGCTACTCTTTTCTCACTGACACTTCTGATCTTCCCCAGACCCAGCAAATCCGGGTCTCATTTCCCCTCCCCACCCTTCTCGCTTTGGCTCCTTGGCTCTTTCTTCCTCAGGTTCTCACACAACCGCTAAGAGAACTGGACCAAACAGGCACAGAGCGTACTCACAGGGGTGCCAAGAAGACAGGCAAAAGCACGTGAACCAGATCCTCCTTGAACCTGAACCTGCCCACACTAGTATGGCCCTGAGAAGATAAGCCCGCCCCAGACAGAAGCCCACAAGTCAGTCCTGAGACCTGTTTGCGAGTTCGGGTCTTCCCCGTCCTCAGCTTGATGTAGCGGGCAATCAGTTCATTCCGACCTGAGGAGTCAGAGATGGAACAGAGTTAGACCTTCAGCAGAACTTCCCAACAGAGAGGACACGAGGGAAGGAGAGAGAAGCAACAGTTCCCAGAGGTCCACAGCTAGCTGGGAGCTCGGTGGAAGCAGAGTTACGACTGCAGGGTTAGGAGTCAGATTGTCTGGGTTCAAATCCCAGCTCTGCCACACACTAGCTTTGTGGCTTTAGGCAAATCACTTAGGTTTTCTGAGATGTGTTCCCACGTGTGCAAACGGGATGCGAGTTCCTGCCCGAGTCATCGTGAGGATATGAAGTGCTTTAATGTGAGCAGTGTTGAAAGTTCCCCAAATGTTTGTTATCATTTTTTCTTAATCAGCGGAGGCCAGGTCAGAAGAGAGGCTGGACTCACCGTACATCTTGCCTTCGTCGGACAGGATGATTTTCCGCCGTCCGCACGGCGGGTAGATGGCCAGGGCCTCCTGGAAGCTCTGCTCGATGTCGGGACTCCAGACGCCCTCCGCGTCTGGGCCTCCATCTCCCCCAGCCCCCTCGCTGCCCCCGGTGCCCTCCTCACTTCCTTCCTCACTTCCCGTCCAGGCGCTGCCATCGTCCAGGGGGGCCCCAGCCCGGGGTTCTCCCATCTGGGCCTGGAAGGACACAGAGCTCAGCCAGTTTCCCCCAACCCACTCAGAAGGACCTCAGGCTCAGAGGGCTGGGGGCCCGGACCCCGGGGCCTGAGGGAGGAGGGGCCCTGGATAAGGGGGCTGGATTTCTGGAGAAGCTTAAGGTGAAGAGTGTTCTCTGGCTTTCCAGGGAAGCCTGAGTTGTGATGAAGTATTGAAGACCCCAGAGTCATGCGTAGGGCCCATGAGGGCCATGCACTTGGGTATGGATTACTGGTTTAAAAAGACAGGAGTCAGGGCCTGGCGGCAGGAAAGGAGGGTGCGGGTGAGATCTTAGTCCCACCCCAAGAACAGGTGCGGGGATGGGAGCAGCAGCTGCGGGAAGAGAGGAAGGGGCACAGGCCCCAGTGAGGCTGAAGGGCAGATCCAGACAGAGGGGAACAGAGGGAGGGGAACAGAGTCCCAGAGGGAGGAGGACAGAGATCTAGAGAGAAGGGGCCGGAGACACAGAGGGTGTTGGACAGAGGCTCAGAGGGAGTCAGGGACGGAGACCCAGATGGGAGCGGGACAAGGACTCAGGGCAGAAACTCAAGTGGACATCAGGAAAGACGCACAGAACCAGAGACTGGGGGGGGCAAGGGCGCCCTGCCATCAGGAGAGCCAGAACAAAGGGCCCAGGCATCCCCTCCCCCAGTTTCCCACAACCCCCATCAGGGGAGGGGCTGGCCAGCGAAAGCCCTCCCCTCAAGCCCTCGGCCCCGCCCCTCCCCCACCCCCACCCCCGGCGCCGTGGGCTCGGATCCAACTCCAGTTCCCAGTGACTTTCCGGAGGCCGGGAACAGGGGAAGAAAACTTTTTCCAATACAGTCAGATCCCGCCTCCCTGGCGGCTCCACGTCTTCCACAGCTTTCCCAGGACTCCAGAGTCCATGCTCCCATCCCCCTCCTCCCGCGGACCCTGGAGTCCCGGCCGAGACAGACAAAGACCCCAGGCCGAGCCCAATGGCGCTGCGGCGTTCAGGACCCCCATAGGCCAAAATTCCAGCCCAGCTCTCCCCCATGTGGCCAGACAAAGGGACGGAGGAGCCGGCTAAGAAGGGTCCCCCTGATTTCCCTCCCCAGGCCCCAAACCTCCGAAGAGACAAGACTGAAGATCCAGAAAGCTCTGCAGCCCACCCTCTGCCACCCCGAAGGCCCCTTTCTCCCTGAGGAGGACCGGGCCCCCACAAATGACACACACGAATCAGTTCGGTCAGAAACACGCAGAGTCCTTTCTCGCTTCAAAACGACACCGCCGCGGATACTCACATCCCACACACACCAAACAAAGTCCCCTGTCCTCCCCCACTCGCAGGCGCACACTCCTAAACTCAGACGCATCAGCAGACACCCCAACTCCAGCGAAAGCTCCAACCCGGCACTTAGGACTCGATCGGGACCGCCAACTCCAGCCCGCGGATAAAAAGAAGGCGGCATGCAATTCAGAGACAGTCCCACAAACACAACCTCCTAACGCATAACTTTCCACCCCAACTCACACACCCCAAAGCAGGATCCCCGACTCCCGCCGGCGCCTTCCTACCTCCCGGCCTGGGGCTGGGGAGCCGCGGGCGGGCGGGGCGCTGCAGAAGGAGAAAGTTGCCCGGGAGCTTTGTTTGGGAAAAGTGGGAGGGACCGGAGGGGGGGCGGGCCCGGACGCCGGACAGTGGGTAGGGGCATCCGACGGTGACAGTTTGGGGGAGGATTTTTGCTTTGGCAAAGGAAAAGTAAAGTCTAGCTGGGGTCTGGAAGCAACTTCAGGATTCTTATGCTTAGATTCCTGGGAGAGGAGCAGTGGAGACGGTCCGGACTTCTCCGTCTGAGGGAGGAGGGGACTGTGGGCCTGGATTCTGGGCCCTCTGTAATTTGTGTATGGGGGATGTGGAAGTGAAAGGAGCACAAAAGCTTCTTTCCTGATCTGCCTAAAGTATATTTTGAGGACTGAAGTATGAAGGTGTGCTTTGATTGAGTTCCATAACAACGGTTTTCCTTGTGACCTCACCAGAGTTAAGAGTCCTGAGCCAGACGACTGGGAGTTTATTGGAGAGAGACTCCCACACGCACACGCGCTAGTGGACAACAGGTGGCGCTGCCCCAAGGCAGGGACAGATACTCTGTGCCTGAAGCGTGAGGGGCTGAGTCTTCAAACTCGTGGGACTGAAAGAGGCTGGGGTCCGGACTCTGGGGACCTGAGAGGGAAGAGAGCCCTGATTCCCAGGTTCTTGGAAACTGGAACATATGACCGGATTTCGGGTTTCCAGAGAGGGTGGGGGCTGTTTAGTGGAACCAAAGAGGGCTCTCAGTTCAGCGTCCCTACATTGCCCTCTGTTGAGTGCGTTAATCGTTTCTGAGAAGTGACACGGAGAAATTCTCAGAAATAAATACGAAACTAAGGGGAGGGCAAACCTGAAGGGCAGAGGGATCCTAGGAATGGAACCGAGGGCGCTAGGGGCAAGATCTGGAGCTCAGAAGCGTGGCCCAGTTGTGGGGGCGTGGCTCTAGGACAGGGGGCGTGGCCACTTGCGGTTGGAGCCAGATAGGCAGGCCTGAATGTACTCAAGACCTGGATCTTCAGCGCTGAGGTCAAACGTCAGGGGCGTGGTCTAATGAGGGAGTGTGACCAGCTGTGAACGTGAGGCTGGCCTAAGGGGCGTGGTTAACGAAGAATAAAGGCGTGACTATCCAATAGAGGGCTCGGCTAGTGAGTGAGGTCAGACATGGGGGCGTGACCAGACATTAGGGGAGCCGCTAGGTGCTCGCGGAGCTCATTCAACGCTCCAGGTACCCCGTTTGGGCTCGAGACCAGAACTGTTTGGATTTAACAGTCCTTGGTCGGCCCAAGTCTGAGAGTCCGGTGTCTGGACTGTGGTCTAGCATAAAGGCGGGGCCCAGAAGACGGGGTAGGGTGTAGGAGAAGGTGAGAAATTATATCTGGATATGAATGTGGGGAAAGGAAAGGAATTAAATCGGTGTTTGAGGCAAAACTCATAAGAGCCAGGGCTTGGGAGGACGCACGGGCCCTGACACGTTGGAGGGAGTGGGAGCAGAAGGAAACGGGAGGGGAAAATAGGTTCGGTGCGGTGCGGGGAGAGTTGCTTGGACAAAGGATAAAACCTGGACAAGGCATGAAAAGCATGATTGTCTTGGGTTGGGCTCTGACCCCTACAGCCTTCCCCGCAATGAGGCACGCGCTGGTCCTGCTGCTGCTGCTCCCCTGTACCTCGATGCCCCCCTCCACTGCAGCCCCCATCCACGATGCTGACACCCAGGAGACTTCCTCGGGTTTTCTAGGCCTCCAAAGACTACTCCAAGACTTCGTCGGGCTTTTCCTGAAAGTGAGCGATGGCGGGGGTTAGGGAAAAGGAGTCCCAGAGAAGAGGGACGGGAACAGGTGATGATTGAGGGGCAGAAGGGATTCGGGGAGACAGTGGGAGATGGGTCACAGCCAGGCAGGACAGGCAGGAAGAGGAGCCAAAGGGACAGAGGGAGACAGGGAGACAGAGTGATAGAGAGAAGGAGGGAGACAGGCAGAGAGGGAGGTAGGATAGAGGCAAGATAATGAAAGGTAGGATAGGAACAGAGAGACAGTAGGGCATGAGGAAGGTAATGGGGTAGAGAATAGAGAGAGAACAGGTGCGGGGTGAGGGCAGGAGGTGACTTAGTTAAGCCCTAAAGGTCAGAAGATGGAGACGGAAGGGGGTGGAAGGGATGTGGCAAGGCCTCAAGGGCATGTTAGAAGGGCTGAAGGTAATACTGGGAAGGCCTGAGGTCCAGCAACTCACCTGTCCCTCCTCTGGCCCCAGGATGACCTGCTACAGGGCACAGACAGCTTCTTCCCTGCCCCCATGGACCTTCAGGGCCTCCCTAGGAACTATCATCAAGAGGAGAACCAGGAGCACCAGCTGGGGAACAACACTCTCTCCAGCCACCTCCAGATCGACAAGGTGCGTATGCTGGGAAGTGCCTCCTGGAGTCTCCCTAGGATCCCTCATGCTGCAGTGTCTTCCTGGAGGAGGGCAGAGGAGGAAAACAGTTTTGCTCTCACTCTTTCCTCCCATCTTCACAGGTGACCGACAACAGCACAGGAGCGGTGTTGATCTCTGAGAAGATGGTGGCATCCACCGAGCGAGGAGAGAACTTGGAGAGTGACTCAAAGGTTAGGACATGCCCCCACCTCCCCCCCCTACTTTTCATTCCAAAGTGCTTTATGAACCCTAAATGCTTTGTGTGCCTCACCTTTGTAGACCTTTGAGTGATTGTAGCCCCAAAGGACTTAATTTGTGACCCTAAAACATTTGAAGAACCTCCAAGAGCTTGGCAAACCCATAGGCTTCTCTCTTGTCACACCCAAAGGTTTCTATTTAAAAAATTTCAAATCTACTGAAAAGTTAAGGGGAAAATCATACAGTAAATATATCTGCATTGCTTTTATCTATCTATCTATCTATCTATCTATCTATTTTTAGAGAAGGGAAAGGAAGGAGAAAGAGAGGGAGAGAAACATCAATGTGTGGTTGCCTCTCATGCACCCCCTACTGGAGGCCTGGCCTGCAACCTGGGCTTGTGCCCTAGACCTGGAATTGAACCCGTGGCCCTTTGATTCGCAGGCCAGTGCTCAGTCCACTGAGCCACACCAGCCAGGGCTGTATTCCTTTCGCTATAGGGCAAGATTTCTCAACCTTGCCACCATTGTAATTTTGGGGCTGGATCATCTTCTGATTGTTTTCATCTGTTTGTTTTTAAAGATTTTATTTATTTATTTTTAGAGAGGGGAAGGGAGGGAAAAAGGAAAGGAGAGAAATATCAATATGCAAGAGATACATCTATTGGTTGCCTCTCAAGCACCCCCCAGCAGGGACCTGGCCTGCAACCCAGGCATGTGCCCTGACTGGGAATTGAACCGGTGACCTTTTAGTTTGCAGGCTAGTCGTCAGTCCACTGAGCCACACCAGCCAGGGCTGGATAATCTTTGTTCTTATCCATGCACAGGGCCATCCGGTGCACTGTCAAATGTTTACCAGCAGCCTTGCCTCTACCCACTAGGCAGAAGCACCACCCCCACCCCCACCCCCACCAGCTGTGAAGACCAAAAATGTTTCCATACTTTGGTTGAGAACTGCTGGCCTAGATTCACCGCCCATTAACATTTTACCACATTTACTTTATTTTTGTATTTTCCAACCATACAACAATAAATCATTGACATCATGACACTTCACCCTTCAGCAGATATCACCTGAGAATAATGCATTCTTCCCCGTGACCACAGGACCACTCTCACACCCAAGATATTTCATGCTGATGTCAAACTGCCGTCTCTGTATCAGTTTCTGAGGGCTGCTGTCACAAAGTACCACAGGTTGGGTGGCTTAAGTAACAGAAATGTATTGTCTCTTAACTGCCGGGCTAGCTCAGTCAGTAGAAATTTATTGTCTCACGGTTCTTGAGGTCAGGTGTCTGAGATCAAGGTTGGTTCCTTCTGAGGGCTGTGAGGGAGAGTCTCTTCCCTGCCCCTCTCCTACCTGCTGATGACTTGATGACAGTCTTTGGCGATTCTTGTTGTGTAGATTGGGCCCCGTCTCTGTCTCATCTTCATATGACATTCTCCCTGTCTGAATGACATCCTCCTCTTTGCTTAAGGACACCAGCCATATTGGATTAGGGCCCAATAAGATCATATTCTGAGGCCTGGCTTGTGTGGTTTAGTGGGTTGAGTGCCAGCTTGCAAACCAAAGGGTCAATGGTTTGATTCCCAGTCAGGGCACATGCCTGGGTAGTGGGCTGGGTCCCCAGAAGGGGAACGCATGAGAGGCAACCACACATTGATGGCTCTCTCCTCTTTCTCCCTCACTTCCCCTCTCAAAATAAATAAATAATTTATTAAAAAATCACATTCTGAGACCCTGGGGGTATGGATTTCAACATATTAATTGAGAGGGTACACAATTCGATATCATGATCTCCTACAGAACTTCTCAGGACTCAACTTATCAAAATGCATGCTGATTCAGTGGGTCTGGGTGGGTGGAATGGAGCCGACCAATTTGCATGTCTACAAGCTCCCAGATGATGCTGATAATACTGGTCCACAGCTCATACTTTGAGTAGCAAGAACCAAACAGAAATTCAGTCCATATTCAAAGCTGTCTGTAAGAGCTAATTTGAGCCCTGGCTGGTGTGGTTCAGTGGGTTGAGAGCCAGACTGCAAACAAAGGGTCATGGGTTCAAATCCCAGTCAGGGCACATGCCTGGGTTGCAGGCCAGGTACCCAGTAGGGTGCGTGTGAGAGACAACCACAGATTGATGTTTCTCTTCCTCTCTTTCTCCCTCCCTTCTCCTCTCTCTAAAAATAAATAAATAAATAAAATATTTTAAAAAGGCTAATTTAATTTGGACCAGAATTCAATCAATGGCCACATGTTGCAGCTGCTTTTCTGGGCCTGGAGCTGAAATACAACTGAGACCTAGATAATATCTCTAGTTTGACCAAAACTCTATCTCTGTGGTCAACAGACCCTGGCTTTGTTCTTAAGATTATTTGACAGGGGCCAGAATTTCATTGTTCTGAAGGCTTAATGCTTAAGGGGGTGGTCATTGCAAGGGCTTATATGGGAGTCATATGAGGGTATTCTCCTCCCCCTTTGTTTCTCCTCTAAGGGTGGGTACCACATGGCTAGCAACATGTCAGGGAAGGAAAGGTCAGGGGGGAGTCTAAACCACATGACCAGTGATATGCTAGGGGAGGAAAGGCCACCCAGGGGGCAAAGTTCCACTGAACAATACTTGTTTTCCAAGTTCTGCCCAGTGCTAAGCACCTAGGTCTTTCCACCCCAGTAACCTGTACCTGGCTTATCATTTCTACTTTGCTCATGACTGTCTACCTGCCTACTGCATCACCCTGCTCAGGGATTCTTGGCTCTGAATTCTTTAAGGCAGGGGTATCAAACTCATTTTCACCAGGGGCCACCTCTGCCTTGTGGTTGCCTTCAAAGGGCTGAATGTAATTTCAGGACTGTATAAACATAACTACTCCTTAACTGTTAAGTGAGAGCTTGGCACTGCCATGGGGTAGAAACAAGGTGCTGGGCTGGATTAAAAAAAAAGGCAGAGGGCCAGATTTGGCTCATGGCCTTGCGTTTGCCACCTGTGCTTTAAGGGAAAGGGGCTTAGGGTCTCTTCTGCAGCAGCTTCCTGCTGAAGAGGGGCAGAGTCTTCCTTCAGAGCCAAGTGACCCTTGCTCTGTGTCAGAAGCAGGATGAGGAGGTGTGGCAATGGTGTCTCGGGTCAGCAACAGGCAGGATTCCCAGAGTACAAGTAGGGCTTGTAACCTGGTGCAGAAAAACTGTGTTATAAATCTTAATATTATTGAGGCAAAAGTTAGAATGACAAGAACCATGATGACTGGTCTTATGAAAGGAAGCATCCAGGCAAGGATACTGAAGGACCCCCACCCCCGACAGTCTGGTTGGCCTAGGTTTTGGATGTTGTTTGCCTTGTCAAGGGGTGGGAGAAAAATGAAACATTACTTTGGAGGGATATAGCCAAATGTTTAAGGAAACAAGAAAAATGCAGGATCCAGTTGAGCTTATAGGTGAAGAAATAAAACTTGGGTGAAAATGAACTGAACTAGAGTCTAATGTCTACAACAGTGCAGTATAGATTTTATTGAACCACAATTTCTGTCCATAAAAATCACCCTCACTTTAGTTGGAGCATTGTCCCAATATGCCAAGGTTGCAAGTTCGATCCCCAGTTGAAGCATATACAAGAAACAATCAACAAATGCATAAATAAGTAGAACAGCAAACTGATGTTTCTCTCTCCCTTCCTCTCTCTAAAATCAATAAATAATTTAGAAAAAAGAAATCTCCAGATTGAGCTTTCAGAGTGAAGAGGCCAAGCCTCACAGTTCCCACCAAGCTTTGCCTGCAATACGTGTAGGTTTGGGTGAAATCCTCAAGTTCTTGAGGTCCCCCCAAATGTCTTGAGGTTCTTCCTTTGCCATGTCCCAGGGAAGCAACTTTCATTCTTAACCTGGACAGACTACCATGAGCCATGTATGTACATAAGCAAGGTACCACGCTGGGGGTGGGGGGTCCTTTCAGCACCTAAAGTCAAGCTTAATTCCTTAAAGCTTTTCTGACAACATCCAGAGACTATGTATTTCCATCTCAATCATGACATTATAGTCAAAGTCTTGATTAATAAAATAAATTTAAAAATTTAAAAGGATCACATTACAATTGTGGTCATGATTCTTTAGTCATGTCCAAAGCTTTTAATTCCCAAGTGCTTTGTGCATTGTTTTAACTTTTTAAAAAATATTATATTTATTTATTTTTAGAGAAAGGGGAAGGGAGGGAGAAAAACATCAATGTGGTTGCCTCTCCTGTGCACCCCACTGGGGATGTAGCCTGCAATCCAGGCATGTGCCCTGACTGGGAATCGAACCAGCAGCCCTTAGGTTTGTAGGCCCACACTCAATCCACTGAGCTACACCAGTAAGGGTACTTTGTGCATTTCAAACTGCTTTCCAAACCTCACAGGATATTTAATCCAAAAATGTGTTGTAATCCCCACAGGTGTTTTAAACCCCAAAGTGCATTTGAAGCCTCCAAAGTGTTTTTAGTCCCAAAATAGTCTATAAACCTCCGAGTATTTTTTTAATTTTATTTGTGTTTTTTTAATATTTTATTTATTTATTTTTAGAGAGGAAAGAGAAGGAGATAGAGAGAGAAACATCAATGTGCGGTTGCTGGGAGTCATGGCCTGCAACCCAGGCAGGTACCCTGACTGGGAATCGAACCTGTGACACTTTGGTTCACAGCCCGTGCTCAATCCACTGAGCTACGCCAGCCAGGGCTAATTTTTATTTGTTGATTTTAGAGAGTGAGAGGAAGGAAAAGGTGGAGAGAGAGAAAGAAACATTGATTTGTTCTACTTATTTATGCATTCCTTGGTTGCTTCTTATATGTGCCCTGACCAAGGATTGAACCCACAACCTTGGTGTATTGGGACGACGCTCTAACCAACTGAGCAACCCCGCCAGGGTCCTGAGAGTATTTTAAACCCAAGTCCTTTGTAAACTGTGAAGAGAATTGTTCATTCCCAAAGCGTCCTGTAGGTGGCAGACTGAGCTAAATATGCCACTGGGTTGTCATTTGACTTTCAGAGGGTCTCTTCGTCCCTCCTCCCCAGGTACCCAAGATAGAGAAGAAGGAGATCCTCATGCCCATCCCAAAAACCATGGACAGCACCCACCCAGAACCTCATCCGAGAGTGGCCTTCTGGATTGTGAAGCTGACACAGCGAAGGTCCCACCAGAATGCCCAGGAAGGTGACCGCTGGCTCAGCGAGAAGCAACACCGCCTGCAGGCCATCCGGGACCGCCTGCAGGCCATCCAGGAAGGGCTCCACGAGGGGACCCAGGAGGAAGTCCTTCAAGAAGGGACCCAGGGATCCTCCTATTTCAAGCTGCCTGCCCGCAAGACACGCTTCCTGTACATTCTCAAACCCTCCCAGCAGCTATAGGGGTGGGAACAGAGGAACACCTGCATGTATCCCCCACCAAACCCCACCTCAACCTCCATATAGAAATAAAGTTCTTCTATCTAACAGCACTATCTCCTTTCAGGATTTGTCCCCAAGCCTCAGCCAATCAGGCAATAGCAAGTCCCAACAATAAGAAGATAACTAGGCAGTCACAAAATATTTGGAAACAAAGTAGTACACTACTAAAATAATACATAAGTCAGATTAGTAAATATTTTTATTTTTATTTTTTTAAGATTTTATTTATTTTTAGAGAGGGGAAGGGAGAGAGAAAGAGAGGGACAGAAACTTTGATGTGTAGTTACCTCTCATGCGCCCCCTACTGGGGACCTGGCCTGCAACCCAGGCATGTGCTCTGACTGGAAATCAAACTGGTAACCCCTTGCTTCTCAGGCCCATGCTCAATCCACTGAGCTACACCAGCCAGGGCTCAAACTAGTAAATATTTTTAAACTGAATACTAACAGAAATGTGACACAAATTTATGGAGTGTAGCTCAGGAAGTTCTCAGAAAAATAATGGCCATCAATGCAAATATTAGAAAGGAGGCTAAATAATAATCTAAAACTATCACTGATATAAGCACCCATCTATCTCAGAAAGTTATACAAATGTAATTGAGCTATAACTTAAGATTTGGCACTCTGTGTATGTTACTGCTATACTTTAAAAAATTTTTTTTTAGGTGTTACAGAAGTACTCAGACCTCAAAAAAGAAAGGAAGAAACAAGACATTCTGAAAAAATGAAATTATACTAATAAAGTTAACAGGGTCTACCCCTTGCCAGCCTGTACTAATAAAACACTTGACAGACATTCTTACTGAACTCTCATAAGACCCCAGGAGGTGGCTATTTGTCCCCATTTTAGAGAAAAGGCTGACTTTCAGAGAGGTGAAGTCACTTGCCAAAGTCACATAGCAATGGCACTAGGTTTGCCCGATTTTATATCTCTTTTATCCACTCACCACATCACCTACCAAAGAGGTTCTTTCCCAGGCCTTACCATCTAATAGCCAAAATAACAACTATTAACAAAGATTACCACCTTAAGTCCTGAAGGTAACCTAAGAAGCAAGTACATATCTCCATTTCTGGGAGGACAACTGAGGCTCAGAGGGTCGCCTTTGTGCCAAGGTCATGGTTAGGAAGTGATGGAGCCAAAATTCAAACCTAAGAATGTCTGATGACTCCAGGTCCACCACCTTATCAACATCCTACACTGTCCAGCACTGAAGAGGCATGGACTCCATCCATTCACTCATTCAACATTTTTTAGTCTCCTGCTCCATACAGTTCACATTCCAGTGGGGGTGACAGACCGGAAATACAGAATGTGTCACGTTTTATGACGTGCCATGAGAACCATTAAAAAGTGGATACTACCAGCTAGCAGACAGGTTGAGTGGTCGGGCCACCTTTTGTCCCAAATCTCCCTTCTTGGGAGTCAACTTTGGTTGTAATTCTTTCCCTAAAAGGGGTGAATGAAACAGTTGGGGAAAGAATCCTTCGGGGATCTATTAATACTTTGGGACTGGAGCCATGAAAGGTCGCAGGAATAGGGAGGCAGTACAGAGCAAGGCATTATTGTGACTGTGATGGGCAGCCTGTCACGGAAGAGAGGGCAGAAAGGCCACGGCTTGGTAGCTGATAAGTGGGGATAAACAAGGAGACTCGCAGTCCAACTCCTAGTTGCTTGGGTTTATTCCACCGAAGCTTGGGGCCCCCACAGAAGACACCAGCACAGCATGCAGACACTCAGACCCTCCCCGCGGTAATCCCGCCAGCCTTCACCCCTTGTGCCCATACACATTCGCCCGCTCCTCTGGGCTAGGCGCGCGCTCGGGACGCCGTACGCATGCGCAGTCTTGCCATCTCAATCAGCCGGCAGGACCGGGGCGCACCGTCGCTCTCAGCGCGCCTGCGTTGGGGGAGGAGCCCAGGCGGGGCGGGGCTTAGGCGCTGCGCACGCTGCGTCGCCTCACACCTTCTCCGGCTTTCCCGCGGGAGTAGCGTTCGTTCACCTCCACTCCGGACAACTGCCGTTCGTCCTTCGTGGCCGTCGCCTGCGTCCCGAGAGTGGGACGTGGCCCCAGGTGCGTCCTGGCTGTGGCAATGTGCCCCAAAGTAGCCCTGCTCGAAGCCCCTCCCGAAATCCTGGCAGAGCGCCGAAATCGAGGGGGCGAGTCCGGGATATCAGGGCCTCCCCCATCTTGTTACAAGTGTCGACCAAATCCCCTGAGAAGCACAGGAAGGAAGCCACCAGAAAATCTTATAGATGACCCCTGAAATCTTGTCAGAAACTAACAGAAATTGTCGGACTTTAGAGCCTGTCGGAGACTCACTCCCTTGAAATCCCCTTCCTCTCCCTCCCAAAATCCTGTCAGATCCCCGGAAATCTTGTCAAACCCACCCAAAATCCTAATTCCTCCCCCAAATATCAGAGAGCTCTGAAATTTAGTCAGAAATCCAGTCAGAGACCCCCTAAAATCCAGAAACCCTTAAAATTCCCAGAACTCCTGCCTAAGCCCTGCTACCCTCTCCCCGCCAAAGTCCCCCGAAAATTGACCAGAGCCTCCCTCCGTTTCTCACCCTGAGTTTATCCCCCCAGCCCTGGCAGACGCTCCCAGTGCCTGTCAGCACTGTTCCTCACTCAGGATCCAGGGCCATTGCCCCCGACTTCTGCACCCCACCCACCAGTCAGCATCATCCAAACCCAGAAAGTTCTCTCCTCCGCCCTTTTTCCTGGGATATTCTAAAAGCCACCAGAAAGTGTGTATGCCACAGCTATGGACCCCCTCTGGTGCCAGGGAAAGCAGGGCGTGGGGGAGTACTTGGTGAGGGAAGGGGAGCTAAACAGGTGAGGCCAGGACAGACAGGTCCCAGAAGCCCGGTATTGACCATCAGCTCCCATGTGCCAGTTCAGCGAGATGGGCACTGTTGTCTAATGTAATTTTTTTTTAATTTTACTTTTCATTTTTAATCATTTTTTATTTTTTAAATATTTTATTTATTTATTTTTAGAGAGAAGGGAAGGGAGGGAGAACGAGGAGAGAAACACCAATATGTGGTTGCCTCTCATGTGGCCCCCACTGGGGACCTGGCCCACAACCCAGGCATGTGCCCTGACTAGGAGTCGAACCCGTGACCTTTTGGTTCGCAGCCCACGCTCAATCCACTGAGCTACACCAGAGAGGGCTAATCATTTTTTATTAACGTTCACACTTAATACACTTGTCTCCATTTCCCCACCACCACTCTCCCCTGTCCCACCCACCCCCACCCTCAATCAGTGTAATTATCAATAGTGACCCTTTCAGTCTTGAAAGTGTCCCAGAGTTGGAACAAGAAGTAAAATGGTCAACCTCGTTATAATGGAGGCACGACAGGACATCTTGAGGGGCACAGAAGAGGGAGCCCGTAACTGCTCCAGGGACTTTGGGAGGGTTCTCAGGGGTCTGCGGACCCGGGCAGGAGTCACAGGTGGGAATGGTGCTACAGTGTGGCCTAGGCTGGGAGGGACATGGGAAGATGCTAAGTTCCCATGGTTGTGATGAGGGTGAGAGTCCTGGAGGTGGGCCAGTGGAGAGGGGTGACAAAAAGAGGCAAGGAGTTACAGGGACCTCTCTGCCACACCAACCAAAGGGGCTAGGGCTTAGTCCTGAGGGAACTAGGGAGCCATGGGAGGGCTGGGAACAGGGAGAAATAGGATCAAACTCAAGTGGGACGCCAGGAGTTCCAAATACAGGCAGATATGGCGAGGATGTCAGTAGCCAGGATAGTTGAGAACCCAGCGACAGTACCCCCTTTAGAAGTGTTTCCCAGAGTAGGGGACACATGGGCCAAGACTGGAAGGGTTGGCAAGCAGGGTGCCCCAGGCAGATACCCAGAGGTGGGAACAGCAAGTGTGATTTGGGGTGGGGAGACAGGCGGGGTCAGGTCATGCAGGGCCTTGGATGCCAAGTCCAGCGTCTGTGCTGGGTCCATAGGGTACTGGGGAACCATGGAAGAACGTTGAGCAGAGGAAGGGCAGGCCAGCTCTGGGGCCCTGTGGGAATGGACTGGAGGCTAGGAGACCAAGCAGGAGGCTGCAGTGAGGGCCCATGGGGAGAGGACGAGGTCAGAGCCTGGGCCATAGGGATGAAGAAAAGGGGACACGGTAGAGTCAGTCAGTCGTTGGGCAGGAAGGACAGGGTTGGGGGGCTTGACAAGCTGTGTGGGTAGGAGTCATAGGTGAAGAGGCATTCATCCCCACCCACTAGCCCCCCCCCTTTGATCTCTGCCACCCACTCCTCAGGTCCCCCTTCTCCCAACCCACACCTCCAATCTATAAAACAGGTCTGAGCGGGAGCTGCTGCGATGGAGACAGGTGGGCAAACAGGTTCTGAGAACCCAGAGCTGCCTGGGGCACAGGTAAGGCAGGACAAGTCCCCACCCTCGGGTGGCTGGTCTGAGAAGGCCGTTCCTCTGCTTGTCCTTTCAGGAGCTCTCAGAGTAGCCGGTCCCTTTTCTGTCCCTCCCAGTGATGAAAGGCAGCTGTTAGCTTTGCCAGCAGCTGTGGTGCAACAAGCGAGCGTGGCCCATGGACCTACCAGAGAGCCCGGCGGGTGGTCCCGCTTCACAAAGTAGGTGGCTGGGCCCCTGGTGACCCCGTGGGAGGATGAGGAAGGAGCAGTGGGTGAACGGGCACCAGGCTGTGACTCCGGGACTTGGGAGAGGTGGCTTGAAGACTCCGCCTCGGTGCAGGGTGGGAGGGAGCCTGCCGTGTGCCCATCTGTCTGGACCTCGTACCCCCTTGGCTCTGGGAGGCCAGAGCAGAAGCCTTTGCAGAGTGGAAGCGGTGTGCCCCCTGCCTGGCACGCCCTTGGCCAGTGACTACAGACTCGCTTCCCTTAACCCTCTGCTGTCTGCCTTTTCACACCTTCTCTCTCCGGCTTTCCCTCTCTTCACAGCACTGACCATCGGCTTGTCTGTCTGCTTGTCTGTATCTCCCCACCCTGACCCCTGCCCCCCAGAGCATGAGCCCCGCCAGGCAGGGTCTGTGTGATTCACTCTGGCATTTCCAGTTCCTGCAGCAGCAGCATCCGACGTGCGAGCCACACATGTAATTTTAAATGTTGTGTGTAGCCATGTTGAAAAGAAATTAAAAAAAGAAACAGACCAAATGAATGGAAATAATAGGTGTTATTTAACCTCATGTACCCACGATAGTATCATATAATCAGTAGAAAAATGAACTAGAGATAATCTCATTTTTTCATGCTGACTCTTCAAGGTCTGGCATGTGCTCTGTACTAATAGAGTATCTCAGTTCACAGTGGCCACAGTTCAGGTGCTTACAAACCACACGTGGTGAGGTGCTGCCCTACGACAATGCCTGACACATAGTAGGGACTCAGATACTGTCCTTGAATTGGCTAGATGCAAACCAAATGCGTGTGAAAGCCATGATGGGGAGGAAGACACTAGGTTCCCCTTTCTGAAACTCATCTGCCAAGTGGGAAACCAATGTGATGGGGAAGGAGGCTCCTGCCCTCGGGGAGAGGTAAGGCCCCTTTCTTAGAGGCCCCCAGCATCCAGCAGCAGCATAGCCTGTGTCTTTTCTCAGGAACCCACTCTTGGACTGGCCTCAGGAGGCTTTCCAGGTAGGAAGGTAGGAGGCAGGCACCTGGGTGTGAGCACCTGAGGGCCTACTGACCGATTGACCGACATCGAAACTTCGCCAGCACCAGCAGAGGGCGTGCAGCCACCAAGGAACCCGCGGGCCAGGGCTGAGCCAGCGAGGAGAGGCTGCTGAAGGAAAGGGAAGGAGGGACACACCCAGGAGAGATGGAGCGAGAGGAAGGCTGGAGCGGGAAGACGGAGACAGCAGAGTGAGGAGGGAGAAGGCTCGGGGCACGGAGAGTCACAGAGAGGAGAGGAGAGGCAAGGAGACAGAGAAGAAAATCGAGGCAAGGAACGTGCAGGCAGAGAAGGAGGACACAGTGGAGAGAGAAATGTGGGGGGAAGATGGAGAGGAAGAGCCAAACAGAACACTAGAGACGGGCAGGCACAGAGACACAGAGAGAAGTGGAGACACCGAGGAAGGAAAGAGGATGGGAGTGGGGGGCACAGTGACGTCTTCCTGCAGGGCCCTGGGAAGAGACTGTAGACACAAGTGGATCCTCGAACCCCTGTAATCTGTAACCCTGTGGTCCTGGGTTGACTCTGTCTTGTGCTCCCTTGCTAAGTGGCCCTGGGCAAGTGACTTTGCTGGGCCTCAGGGCCCTCCTCCGTAACCCTGACTGTGGGTTCCTGCTCCCCTTCCCCAGGAGCATGGGTTCAACCCCAAGGGGGTTAAATTTGAACTCACTACAAAGAGCCCTCGAAGAGTTAGAGGGATGAGAAAGGGCATTCACATGTTGAACAGGTAGCCTTGGGCAATTCCTACCTTTTCTGTGCCTAAGTCTCCTCACCTGTATGGTGGGGCCACTAATAGCAGCCAGCACGGTCCATGCAACACCCTCAGGAGAGGCTGAGTTAATGTCCGATTCTATTACTGAGCTTCCAACACATGCCAGGGTGTCTGCCAGGGCCCTTCCAGATTTTCTCTCATTTTGTTTCTAAGAGGGAGGGAACACCCCACCCATTTTCCACAGGAAGAAACTGAGGCTCGGAAAGGCTGTGTGGCTTGCCCCTTGGGTCTGCCAGACCCTGAAGCCTATGCTCAGCCTGCTGCTACACCCAGCTGTGCAGGGAGTCCTGAAGGTCACTGCCAGCCCTGGGAAAGAGGCTGGGTTGCTCCAGGGGTTCTGGAGGTAGAGGATCTCCTCCCATATCTTGGAGCATTTATTGAGTGCCTACTGTGTGCAGACACCACGAATACAGCAGTGGGCAAGAAGACCCTAGATCACATACAATGTGTGTGTTTGTGTGTGTTCTGCACACACACACAGATCTCATCCTCCCAGCCCTGGAGCAGGGTATTCCTCTGCCCTGCCTCCACTTTACAGATGGGGAAACTGAGGCTCCACAAAGAGAAGCAGCTTGCCCATAGTAGCACAGCTGGGCTCTGAGCTCCTAGTCTTGGACTTCCAGGACGCAAGCTCCGCCTAGGGGTGGTGAGAGGGGAGAGGCCAGCCCACCAAGCCGGCTCCAACCGGAGATGCAGCGGGCAGAATCGATCCAGGCTGCCAGAATGTTATCGGATTGTTCCCAGCTCCTGGGCCCCTTCACCCTCAGCTCCTCCCAGAATCCTCTCCTCTCTGCCCTCCCCCACCTCTAGTTCCCTCTGAGGTGAGCCTGGGAGGCAGGAGAAGCGAGGAGGAAAGGCTGATTGTTCATTGGCTCCTGAGTGGTTTGGACACAAAGCATCAGACAGCAGCAGGGACTTCCTGGTCTGAAAGATGGGGCCCACATCCCCAGGGCGGTGGGCAGAGCGCTGACTCAAAGAGCCTCGTATTGCTGCCCCTACCCTAAGCCTCCTCCTGTTCCCCACCAGCCCCAACTCCAGGCAGCTCTGAGGGAATCCCCCCGCTGCAGAAGCCTGAGTCAGTCCTCTCCTGACTGGCCGTCTTGTCTCCTCAGTGTACCTCTGGGACCAGCCGGAGGAGGGGCTCCTGGGGACACCGCTCAGCTTAGAGGAGCAAATACTTAACTCCACCTTCGAAGCCTGTGACCCCCAGAGGACAGGTGGGAGGGGCGGGATGGGGCCTGTGAGAAACAAGGAATAATAAGGGGCAGCAATGGGGACATTGGGGACTGGGGAGCCATAGAGAGAAGGATGGGCTAGGACCCTTCTTGGAGGACATGGGTGATTGTGGGAAGTTTCAGGAGGGACTACGTAAGGGAACAAAGGCCTTTTGGGCAAGGACAGCAAAGAGAAGAAAATGTGGGGGACATGAAGGGAAGAGGGAGGTGCTTTGGTGCCTGGGAGGTGGAGGGAAGACAGCCACTGTGGGCCGGTGGGGCACAGCGGGTCCTCCTTGGTCCCCCTCTGAGGTGGGGACAACTTGTGAAAAAGGCCAGGTGGAAGAGTGGACTCAGAGGAGGGGAAAGGACTTGCCCAAGTTGCCTCAGTCAGGCTGTGGTGCAGGGGTGCCGCCAGCCCAGCCAGTGAGGTCCTGATGTCCCCAACTGCCACCCTCCCTGCTTGCCCTAAACTCCCTCATGGCATGCTGTGTCCCCAGGCTTTGTGGCTGTGACCCACGTACTGGCCTACCTGGAGGCTGTGACCGGACAGGACCCCCAGGACGTGCGCCTCCGAACACTGGCCTGCAGCCTGGACCCCAATGGGGAGGGCCCTCAGGCCACTGTGGACTTGGACACCTTCCTGGTCGTCATGCGGGACTGGATCGCTGCCTGCCAGCTGGATGGGTGGGTCCCTGTACCTCCACCCTCCCCCGGGAAGACCTAACCTCATAGGTTACTGCAGCCAGCCCCTTTCAGCACAGGGACCTCCTGTGGTTGGAAGGAGGCTGAGGAGGGAAAAAGTAAAGAGGGGGGGTTAGGGGAACAGCAGAGGGTCTAAGAACAAAGAGCCCGGGATGGAGAGGGAAAGGGGGTCCAGGAAACAGAAATAAAAGGGGCTGGAAGGAGGAAAAGGGGGAGGTGCTGGGGGGCTGACAGATACTCCTCAACATCCCTTCTCCAGTCCCAGCCCTTGCCCTCCTGCTTTTCCATCTGGCCCTGGGCGCGTACCATCTGGCTTCACCTTCCTCCCCATCGTGCCTGCTCTCTCACCTAACCTGGCCCCTCCTTCAGCCACCCAGAATCCCCCTGCTGGGTTGGAGGGTGGCTGCAGGGAGCTATAAGCCTCATCCCTTTGATATAGACGATTAGAGCTGGAAGAGGAGACCGCCTTCGAGGGGGCCCTGACCTCCCAGCGACTGCCATCTGGTGAGATTGCTATGTATAGAATGAAGCAGGCGGGCCCAGGGTCAGACTCTGGGGGGACTTCCCACTTGGTAACAGTGGGAGATAGAGTGGGACCTGTGCTCTAGCCTGGAGCTGTGAGTTTGGCTTTCTGGGCACCTCCATGATGGACTCCCCACCTTCCCTGAACTTCGGGGGTTTTATTCCTCTGGGGTTCTTTCCCAAGCCTCCTCCTAATGCCAGCCCTCTTATAGAGCCCCAGGCTGAGGTCCCTTGCTCTCCACACAGCACTCACACACTCACAGACCTGCACTCCTTTCCTGAGGAAATCCCACAGTCTGATGAGTTACCCGCCCTGCCCCCTGCCGTTTGGTTAGTTACTCTGCTCACATGGTACCTTAGACCTCCCACGCAGGAGGCGCTTCACAAACAGGTGTTTGTGTAATATTTCTTCAGCCTGCGAAAACAAATGCAAATAAAATAGAGCTTACTTTTCATTCCTTGAACCTCCTCCCATTGGACTGGAGGGCTGTGAGCAGGGGAGGGGCGGGGCAGCTCTGGGTGGGGAGGGACTGGAAGGGAGGGCCTGGAAGCCAGGTGGCTGGGGAGGAGGCTGTGGCAAGCCGGGTCCAGGAGGATACAAAGGAGCAGGGAGTCAGGGAGGAGGGGGCTGGGCCTAGGCCCCAGTAGACAGTCAGGGTGAAGAGAAGCAGGGGACCCAGGTGGTGTGTGGGGGGTGCTGGGCAGAGAAACAGATGGGGGCAGTTGAATGCTGCCCTGTGTTGGGCCTGGAAAGCACAGGGCTATGTGGGAGACCCAGCCTGAGTTCAGGTGCCAATGAACTGGAGGCTTTTCTGATGTTGGGTGTCAGGACAGCCCTGGGAACAGAAGGGAGCACCCAGAGGAAACGTGAGGGTGGAAGCCAGAGGAGGACCAAGCCCAGAGTCCTGGGTCACCCCAACATCCAGAGTCACTGAGGAGCCCACCTCCCTGGGTCTGTGTCCCTCCAGGAAGCCCAAATGCCGGGGAGCCAGACAACCTGGAGAGCTTCGGAGGCGAAGACCCCAGACCTGAGCTGTACCTATCCTCCAGCCCCTGTCTACCCTGCCCACCCCCGCCCATGCACTCCAGCCTGCCCAGGGCCTGGCTAGGGCTTGGGGTCCTTCGGGAGTGGGTGAGGGACGGGGGCTGTGCCAACAGCTCAGGGAGAACGGCTGTCTCCAGAGGAGCGCATCTCCCTATCACCCTCACCACCTACTGTCCCTGGGGAAAAAATGCTGGGGCTATGGGTGGTGACCCCTGCCCGTCCTGCCCCCAGGCCCGGCACAGCTGACCTGCTGAGCAGCCTGGAGGACCTGGAGCTCAATAACCGCCGGCTGGCCGGAGAGAATGCCAAACTGCAGCGCAGTGTGGAGACGGCTGAGGAGGGGTCCGCGCGCCTCGGGGAGGAGATCTCGGCCCTGCGCAAGCAGCTCCGCAGGTGGGCCGGGCCCACGTCCACCTGTGCCCCGTGTCCCTCCTGGCCACAGCCCCAGCCTCACTCTCTGCACCTCCTGCCCCTTGTCTGTGACCCCCACACCTGTCCCCCTTCTTTTCCTTTTATTTTTCTCTCTTGTTGTGTCCCCTGTGGTTCTTCTCTCTCAGCCTCCAGGGTTCAGCCTTCTCTGTATTCGTCCCTCTGTGATTCTCCATCTCAGCGGCCTGTCTTTCCCTGCACTCTGGCTTCCTCAAGCCCGTCCTGTTCAGTCTCCCACTCTGGAGGACCCTGACCACTCTTGGTCTTTTAGGTAGAAACTTGGTCTCTGTCCCCCATACCCAGCTTTGCCCCTCCTTTTTCCTGAGTCTCTGTCCTGCTCTCTCTGGGTCGCCATCCCCCCAACTCTGAGATTTATCTCTGTTGCTTCCATCTCTCTGGGTGGATCTCCATCTATGGTCTGTCTTCCTCTCCCTCGTGGCCACATGCCCTGCCCCCTCAGTACCCAGCAGGCCCTGCAGCTCGCCAAGGCTGTGGATGAGGAGCTGGAAGACCTGAAGAGCCTGGCCAAGAACCTGGAGGAACAGAACCGCGATCTTCTGGCCCAGGCCCGGCAGACAGTAGGTCTTCCTCCTTCTCCTCCTTCCCGCTCTCTTGGAGTCTGATCAAGAGCCTGACTACGGAATGGGAAGTGGCCCAGGTCCCCCAGGCTTCCACTGTCAGTCCAGGCCCTGCTTGCCTCAGACTTTGAGGCCACATCTGCTTGCCATCCCTCTAATGACAAAGGGGACAGCAGGGGCCATCAGGGCTCCCCAGACCCTTGCCCCAGCCCAGCTCCTCAGTGACCCAGGCCCAAGTTGGTAGGAAGGGGTGGTGGGAAAAACAACATGGGGGCAAGGAAGCCCCCAAAGAAGCCTTTGTCCTCTCTCTGGGGTCACCAGGAAAAGGAGCAGCAGCATCTAGTGGCTGAGCTGGAGACTCTACAGGAGGAGGTGAGCAAGGCCCAGCACCCAGTCCCACCTCTTCCCCAGCACCCCCTGCTGTGCCTCAGGCAGCCCCAGAAGCCTGCGGACCAAACACCCTGCAGTCTGGTGAGGGGGACTCCAGGATCCCAATAATGTGTGAACGTCTCTTAAGGTCACATCACTGTATGTGAGAGCTGCCCCAGTTGGTCAGAGTGTAGGGCGGGGGCAGGCTGCTGGGGCTCACACCGAGGCCACTGACATAAGCATGGGCCCCCTCTCTGTGCCTCAGTGTTCTCACCTATAAAAATGGGCAAAATGATAGAATCTCCCTCCTTGGGTCGTGTGAGGTTTACATGAGGGATGCTTGTAAAGGCACAAGGCTGGACACGTGGGAGGTGCTCACTAACAGTTAGTGTTGTTCATATATTAGTGTTTTTTTATGGTAGAAAGAACGCAGGCCTTGAAGGGAGCCCTGAGTTCAAATCCCATCTCTGCCACTTACACGACAGACAACCTTTAGGCGCATGGCTGCCCCTTCCCAAGCCTCGGTTTTATTTTCTCAGATCGGGGAGAAGGCTGTCGGTTCACCAGAGTTATTATGGGAATTACATGACTGCTTTTAGCCCAGGGCCCAGCACATAACATGACCAGACCAGTTCGACCTCACGTCTGATTCAAGCCACATTCCATCTGAAGCCAGAATCGTCATCTGAGCTAATTCTGGGTCCACCTAGTCCTTTTAGGTGGAAATTAAAACTCATCATTTGATGATGAAGCTTGTCACTGTCCCCCCACAAGGTGGCATCTAAGTTGCTGGAGACTCGGGCAGCACCTTAGTGCTCCAGGAGGCGGCGGCCCTTGCTCAACATCTGTTCTCTCCGCCGGCTGCAGGATTGATGTTCGCGGTCCCATCTGGCGCCGGGCCTTAGTCACCACCATGCGGTCCCTCGCTGGGAGGCTGGCATTGCCTTCCGGTCTCTGGATGTACAGTCCTCACTGCATCTGCTGCCGACGGCCCCCCAAAGGCCGTGGGGGCGCTCACTCAGCCCCTTGTCTGCCCTTCTAGAGGTGCAGAGAAGCTTGAGCTGCTTTGCTGACTCTGTGGCCACAGGAGCTTCTCTGGGCCTCAACCCCTCAACCCCTCAACCCCTCACAGGGCTATTTCTGTTCTGTCGCTCGCATGCCTTGCTGGTTCCGTGACTGAGCTGGGAAAAAGGCCTCTCAAATGCTCAGATGCCCCAGGGGTTCTGTGACTCCAGTGCATCCATTCTTGCCCCCTCTGGGCTAAGCCTGGGCATGGGGTGGCTCAGGGCCTGTGTTCTCTCCGTTGCTCTCTGCTTCAGCTCTCCTACAGCGCTCCCCCACCCTCAGGATCTCTGCCCAAGTCAGGCAGTGATACTGACCCTGCCTGACACGCCCCCCCACCCCACCCAATCGTTGTCCTCTATCTGCACATGGCTCCTGTATTTAAATCTAAACATTTTCTACCATTGTTTTCTGGATCTTCCATCAAAATTGCCTCCCCTGGGGCTGTGGGGATCTCGCTGCAGCTGTGAGGCATGGGATACGGGCAGGATGTGACTGTTCCTTCCAGAACTTCTTTTTAAGAACAAGGAGAGATTTCCCCTAAAGCCCTTGGCAGAATCTCTGTCTTATGTCTCTTTGGCCAAAGTTGCAAATGATTAGAGCCAAACAAACCAGTCTCTGGCATGGGTAACACAGCCCGTGATGGGTCTGGGATGCTGATTAATGAAAGGTTCTGAAGCTCTCTGGGCTGGTTTGGCAGCTCTGCGGCTTGTTTGTCTGTCTGGAGCCTCGTGATCACAGGTGGCTACAACAGCTCCTGACTTCATGTTCTCATTTAGAACAGGACAGAGGGCCAAGGGGACCCAGCAAATGCACCTCTCTCAGCCCTCTCTTTCCATCAGACCTCTCTGACCTCTCACTGGTGGAACTGGATCACGTGACAGCCCCCCACCCCAGCTGCCAGGGAGGCTGGGAGAATATCCTCAGCTTCTGGAGGGGCAGGATGGCCGCTGGGTTAGGCAACCTGCCCTGTCTCCTGAATCCACTGAGATTGCCATCTTGATTCACCCCTGGGGCTGGGGCTGGGACCCACCTGCCCATGTGGAGAAAGGACCTCCAGTGAAAGCAGAAGAAGGAATAAGCAGGTGAATGGCAACCAGCGGTCTCTGCATCTTCGCAGCCCAGAAGGCTTACTGCCAGGTCAAGTGCCTTGAGCTGCGCCTGGGACATCCTAGGCGCTCAATAACTAGAGCTATTCTTGGATCCCTCCCCTCCACCTTTCCCCTCACTGGCAGCTGCCTACAGAGCATCTATAGATCGAGTTCTCAAGTTACCGGAGAATAATGCTGGAGTAAGGGACACTCAGACACTCAGCTTTCCTACGGAGAACCTACGGAGCAGGGCTCAGGTTACTGCAGAAGCGGCTGAGTAACCAGGTTCCCTGCTGCTAGCCCAGGATCCAGCCTGCAAATCCCGACCAGGTGGGCAGATGTTGACACAGCATTCCTGGCCCGTCCTTCCTCCGCCCTTCACCTGGCGGTCCAGGCCTGCTGAGACTTGAGAGTGAGGGAGCTCAGCTGATGGACGACTCGCAGCCCTAGGGCTAGAGAAAAGGAGGAGGGCACCAGGACATGGCAAAGGAAGTCGATTGCCTTCATGGCCAGAAATGCTTTCCCCTGTGACTGCCCCACATGGAAATTCAGTGCAATTCACTAGGTTGTTGGTGCTCAGAAACTCTAGAATGGAATTTGGGCTATTTTATTCTCAGTCCTGTTTTGTAGCTTGCCCTGCCCTCTGCCCTCTCCCGGTCCACTGGCCCCCTCGTTTTTTTCCATTAATTCTTGAGGATTCAGCCCCAGCCCTGGCTCCTCAGGAAGCCCCTCATCAGGGCTCCCAAGGGCCCAGACCCTAATCATCAGAGTCCTCCTCACACATTATCAGTTTCTGTGTTGGTCTCTACCTCCAGTGATGAGCTTGGAGCAAGGAATGAAGCTGGTTCCCCATTCCCACCTAAGGCTTCACCTGGCTCATAGGAGTGTCTGGGGCTTACAAGCACAGGATTTGGAATTAGAGTTTTGAGTCCACTTACCATGTGACCTTGGGCAAGTTTCTTAACCCCTCTGACCCTCAATTTCCTCTATAAAATAGAGGATGATGTCAGTAAAAATATTGTTGGGATGGCCAGACATCACGTTCTTCCTGAATGTCGCAGTATGACAGGAACAAGGTCTATCCAGGAACAGTCCAACCATTGTTAATATATAAGAACAGTTTGCGTGACATCGATGTGACCTGGCAGCCAAGGAGAGCAGACTGGAATGCACATTTATGAACAACGATGACATCACTGTACTTGTCAGTGGGGGCTGTAGACACTGTTGAGTGAGCATGTGTACTGTGTGGCTGTCGCATTCAAAATGACTGAGTAGAGCAACAAATCTCTATCAAATTTTGCATTAAGCTTGAATATTCCTCCATGGAAAGTATTCAGATGATTCAGAAAGCCGTAGCTATGGGCAAATGGTGATTGGTAGCTTCGTCACGACAATGCGCCAGCTTGTGCATCACAACTTGTGCAGAGTTCTTTGGCAAAACAAAATCACCCAGGTGACTCAGCTCCCTATAGCCCAGATTTGGCACCCTGCAACTTCTGGCTTTTCCCAGAACTAAATCACCTTGCAAAGGGAAGAGATTTCAAACCCTCCATGAGATTCAGGAAAATACAACAGGGCAACTGATGGTGATTTGGGAGAACTGTGTGAGACCCCAAGGTGCCTACTTGGAAGGGGACTGAGGTGTCATTGTCCTATGCACAGCATTTCTTGTATCTTGTATCTTCTTCAATAGATGTCCCAATTTTTCATATTAACATGGCTGGTAACCTTCTGGACAGAGCTGGTATAGCAGCAGCCCATGAAATCTGCCAGCCAGCAAGTTGAACAAGAGTCTGGAAAAGGCCCTGGATCTATCCGCCAGTTTGCAGGAAATAATAAAGATGCGGGGACATGGTCAGCATCACCATAGGGAAGGAGAACCCTGTAAACGAGACCCAGATGCACCAGTGCTGCCAGACGGCCTGGCTTCTTCCACAGAAGAAGGGCCCAGAGAAGTGCCAGGACTGGAAGGTGGGGGGTCACTGTCATAAAGAGAATGGAGACATTTCAACCCAAAGCCTGCCGACCCTCTTTCAAACACACTCAATGTGAAACATTTGTGAGACAAGCAAAATAGAAGAAGAATGCACATTGGCTGTGAGATGTGAGATAATGCTAAGGAATTGTTGTTCATTTTGTTAAGTGTAACAAGGGTAGGAATTGTGGTTTTGCTAAAGGAAAGGCCCTTAAGTAGAAGATTAAAATGCTGGAATAATTATATGTAAAATAATATGTTTGGGATTTCCTTTCAAATAAGCTGGTTACGCCAAAAGCTTGGTGTTTGTCAGCCACTGGTTTTTGTTTTTTTTTTAGGTTATATTTACTTATTTTTAGAGAGAAGGGAAGGGAGGGAGAAAGAGAGGGAGACAATCGTCAATGTGAGGTTGTGTCTCTTGCGCCCCCTACTGGGGACCTGGCCTGCAACCCAGGCACATGCCCTGACTGGGAACTGAACCAGTGACCCTTTGCTTGGCAGGCCGGCACTCAATCCACTGAGCCACACCAGCCAGGGCTGTCAGGCACTATTCTAATGCTTTGTGCTCTGAACATGTATTTGTACTAATTACCACTTGTAGACTTGGGGCAAGTCGCTCAACCTTTCTGTGCCTGAGTTGCTTTTATCTTTAAAATACGGTATAAAAATACTAAAATAAAATAGGGGGTAAGAACTGAGTTAACATGTGCAAGGTGCTCAGTAAATGTTAGCAATTAGCTCATTTAATCCTCGCAGCAAACCCATGAAGTAGGTCCTGTCTTCTCCCCACTTTGACAGATGGGGGGGATGGCCTGACTGAGTCCCAGAGAAATCAAAGCTGGAATTCCGTAGCACAGTCGGAGGGATTCCGTGGGATAAAACACAGAGTGCTTAGCATGAGGCCTGATGCACATCAGGTGTCAGCAAAGGTTGGCCGTGAGCATCAGCGTCACCATCACCATTTGCTGAAGCGAATGTGACTCCCTATTCCTCCCTCCAGAATGGGAAGCTGCTGGCCGAGCGGGACAGAGTGAAGAGGCGGACTGAGGAGCTGGCCATGGAGAAGGACTCTTTGAAGGTACCACCCCCACCCACAGTGCCTTGACAGCTTTCCACCACCCCCAGGGCCATTTTTACCCTCTCCAGTTCCAGCCACTGAGGCCTGGAGAGCCGGGAACTTCAGGAGTGGGCAGGCCTGGGGAGAGCAGGGCCGAGGAGGGTCCCCAGAGGCAGGAGAGATAACAGACAGGCTCCTTCCCTGGCAGCGGCAGCTTTGTGAGTGTGAACACCTCATTTGCCAACGAGAAGCTGACCTCTCTGAGGTGAGGGGACTGGGGTGGGGGTGACATTTGTTTCCACGTGAGCCTGCCCATCTCCTACCCCGAGTCTGGAAAGGGAAGCCCTGCCTGGCTCTGATCCTTGGCTAAGCAAGCAGCCCGGAGAGGTCAGAGAGTTCTCCTGAGGTCATGAGCATGACCCTGCGGGGTCTTGAAGCCCACTGCTGTCTCTCAGCCCCAGCCCTGCCCCCAAGCTCACCCTGCCCAGCCCCCACACACACCCCACGCCCTCACCCATAGCCTCAGTGTCTCTGTGGGGCTGGACCCAGCCTCAGTCGGCTTTGGGCTTTCCCAGCGCACTTGCCACGCAGAGAGCCTGGCCAAGACCTTGGAAGAGTACAGAACAACAACCCAGGTAACCCGGGCTCCCCGCCCACCCTCGGAGGCCCCCTGCTGGCCTGGGTCTCCTTGCTTCTCTCCTGCCTCTTCCAAGATTTACTGCCTCTTTCTGCCTCTCCACCTTGTCTCAGGTCCCATCTCGCTTCCGTCCCCACTGTTTGACGGGTGTCCCTCTCTCTTTCCACCTTTTTCCCTGTCTTCCCTTTCTCTCTCACTCTGCTTTCTGTCCTCCATGGGTGTCTTTTCACCGCATTGCCCCTCCTTATGTCTTTGCACATCTGCCTGGTTTATTTAGGTTCTTGTCTCAGCTCCTCTCTGGACCTAGCCTGTCTCCCAGGGTGACACCTCTCTCTGTCCCTGGTTTTTAGGAGTCTCTCATACATCAAGTGTCTTTTGTCTGTCTGCGAATGTGTCCATCCATGATTTGTCAGTCTGTGTGTCTCCATATCTGCCCTCCTTTGCTTAATTGTACTGGTCAGTAGGTTACCTTCTGGGTTCCCTGCTGTTCTGTCTCTCTTTGGCCTCTCATATTTCTTCCCCACTTCCCTTGGCAATATGTATCTGGAGAAGCCATAAGAAGTCAGGGGATGGAATTGACCTTGGAAGAGGAGCCTGGGGTGGAGGTTGGGAAAGAGTGGAAAGCCAGGTGTCTCTTACTGTCTGCTTCGCAGGAACTGAGGCTGGAAATCTCACACCTAGAGGAGCAGCTGAGTCAGATCCACAAGGGGCCAGATGAGTGAGTGGAACACGAGGGGGGAGGAGGAGGCAGGAGGAAAGCCCGAGAGCAGGGGCCCCCCAGCCTCCAGCCCCACGGTGGGCAGGGTGGCGACCGCAGCGTGGGCCCACCTACAGGCGGCGGGTAGGCACACAGGCCTTCCCCCTCCTGCCTGTGTGGCCAGGCCGCCCAAAGGGACGCAGGCAAGAAGAGAGGACTGGGCCAAGCTGCTGCCCCCGTCGCTGGGCATGGAGATCCAGGCCCTTTGGCAGGTGCGCCTGGTGCCCCCGGGACACCCCAGCCCACATGAAGCTGCAACTCTGACCCAGCCCGCACTCTCACCCTGCCCTGTCTCTCCTCAGGATGGTCTGTCCTGACCTCGTCCCTAATCCAGTTCTTGGTCCTGGCACCAAACCCTCCCTGGGTCCTGCCCACACCTGCTCCCCAGTCCAGCCTCATACCAGCTCCCTTCCTCCTCCCGTCCTCGCGCCTCAGCCCGCCTCCATCCCCACCCCTGACCTGCCTTCTGCCCTAGTCTGACCCTCCTTGACCTCGGAAACCACTTTTCTCCCAGCAACGAGAAGAGGCAGCCGCTGATCTCTCCAGCCCCCTGTGCGGGGTGTGGCAGTGGCAGGAGGGCGTCAGTGAGAGCGACGAGGAGGCTGAGGGACAGGTGAGCTTGGGAGGGGCGCTGAGGCCGGTGGCGTCCAGAGAGGGGGCAAGAGCCTGGGGCTCCAAGTGCCTGTGCCGTCCCTCATTCAATGGGCAAACGCTGATGGAGGGACCCCTGAGGCACCCGAAGCCCAAGCCAGCTGGAACTCCAGCCCTGCCCCCCAGGGGCTGGCCTGCTGGGGTGACAGCCAGAAGTGAAGAAGGCAGACACTCAGATTCCTGGTGGTGGTTATTATTGTTGTTTTGGACACACTGTCAGAAATCACCTTATTTAAAATGGTGTTATACACGGTTACACAATAGTCAAGGGGTGTGAAATACAGAACAGAGAATACAGTCAGTAATACTGTAATAACTACGTTTGGTGCCAGGTGGGTACTGGAAATATTGGAGCGGGGGTGGGGGGAACATGCTGTAAAGTATACAGTTGTCTGACCACTCTGCCGTGCGCCTGCAGCCAATGCAAAGTGACATTGAAAGCTCCCTGACCGGTGTGGCTCAGTGGCTTGGGCATCGTCCCCGCAAAGCAAAAGGTTGCTGGTTCGATTCCCAGTCAGAGCACACACCTGGGTTGCGGATTCGGTCCCTGGTCGGGGTGCGTGCAAGAAGCAGCTGATTGATGTTTCTCCCATATTGTTGCTTATCTCCCTCTTTTTCCCTCCCTTCTCTCTCTAAACATAAGTAAATACAACCTTTAAAAAATAATAATATTGAAAGTAAATTGTAATTGAAAAAGGTTTTAAGTGAAGTGACTAAATCCTAAAAAAGGAAAAATAAAATAAAATAAATGGAATGGTCCTGCAGTGGGGAGTGAACTGTGCTCCCTGACCCTGTGAAGACACGGTATGCATTTGCCTTAGCAGCCCACTGTGGAGCCCCAAACTCAGCAATAGCCATTGTTTTATGACTTCTGTAACTACCTGAACAATAATACTACATCACTCAAATAACTGAGAAAACTCAGCTTTAATGTCCACAACTAAAAAGTGAGATTTTGTTCTATCAGCGCCAGAAGAATTTTTTTAAAGAAAATTTGGCTAATAGCTCTGTAAACAACTTACTGTCATGAAATCTAACTGCTTCAAACCTGTTTGCTGTTCTTAAGGGAGACGCACTTCTCTGCTCACACTCTCCCTGGGCTGAGAGAAGCCTCTGTGTTTTTCTTTGACGTGATCGCTGTTAAATTCTCACGTGCCTCTCCCAGCTTCTCTGTGAGGTAGGCTTCCTCATCCCTCACCATTCTCCTGGGAAACTGAGACTCAGAGACAGATCCCACGTCCGCTGTCAAGGGCACCGCTGCATCTCTCAAAGGAAACGAGCTTCTGCTGCGAGCTCTCTCTCAGACACCCCACCCAGGGGAAGACTGGCCTGGCCTCAGGGTGCCCCCCGCCCTGGGTCCTGGGGGCCGCGTGGACTCGCTCAGGCCCCAGGCCCCTTAGCGTGCAAGGCGTGGTGGAGATCTCACAAACAGGCCATCGCAATGCCGGAGGGAGGACGAGTGTGCTGGAGGGGGGGTGGCCCCCGGGGGAGCCGGACAAGGTGGTACCCGGGTCACAGGGAGACTGACACTTGAGTTGATCTTGAAGTAGAGAGAAGTTAAGCGGGGTGAGGAAAGCACGCCTTCCAGGGGGTGGGAGCAGTGTGCGTGGCAGTAGCGTGAAACTGCAGAATATGCGTGGGGAGGAGCCAGCAGTTGGGGTGACTGGTGAGAGAGGAGGCCCCGGGGATGGACCATGAAAGGAACTCCCTGGCAACCAGGCTGAGAGGTTGTGCTTTTCTCCATTGAGCCAGAGGAGGCTCTGAGCAGGGAGGGGCAGGGGCAGCTCTGAATGCAGAAGGATCCCTCGGGAGCCAGCCACATGGGGACTGAGCGGGGAGGCCAGGCGGGAGGCTGATGCAATGGTCCAGAGGGGGAGGATGGAGCCTGAGCCAGGCCAGGGCCTTTGGATGGAGGAGAAGGGCTGGGCAGAGAGAATCCGAGTGGGGGAGATGGGGCCACAGAGAGGTGGGCTGGTGTCTGGGGTGACAAAAGTGGATGGAAGAGGGGAATGCTGAGCTTATTTTGTGATGTTATAAGGTGAGGGACGTGGTGAGGGGTGGAGGCTGCCCGGGGCAATGGGTATGCAAAGGTGGAGCTCAGAGATGTGTTTAGAGAACAGTGTCCAGTTGGTTGAAGCCATAGGATGAGATGTGTCCGGAGAAAACAGAGAGACCTTGGTCCTGAGGGAGAGCACGTGGTCGAGCTATCCCAAGTGCAGGAACCTGGGAGGAAAATGGGGCCTGAAAGGGGAACACTGAGCCCCTTCTGGGCGCAAGTGAGAAGTGTGGGGGGCCTGGACTCTTGGGCCCTGGAGAAGGAAGGGGCTTGGTGGGGTCCAGAGTGCTTCCATTTCTGGCTTCTGCTCCTGGGGTGATGACAGAGCTGCGCCCAAGTGGGGGGTGGGCAAGAGGAAAGCAGGCTTTTGTTCATTAAAGATTCTATTATCTATTTTAGACAGAGGGGAAGAGAGGAAGAGTGGGAGAGAAACATCAGTGTGTGGTTGCCTCTTGTGCTCCCCCTGCTGGGGAGCTGGCCCGACACCCAGGCATGTGCCCTGACTGGGAATCGAACCTGCAACCCTTTGGTTTACAGGCTGTTACGCAATCTACTGAGCCACAGCAGCCAGGGAAGGCAAGTTTTTTAAGAAGATGGTGAGTTCTTGAAGTGTTGCAGCACGGGAAACCTAACCTTTCTTTTTCCCCCACAGAGAAACTTCCAGGGAGAGCCAGCATACTGTCAGGAAGGAAGGAAGGGGCAGACGATGTGGTAAGAAGCCTCTTGCTCCCAGAGCCCAATCAGGTGACACCCGATTCTCAGAGGGATGGAGTACAGGAACTAGACGAGCCCTGACAGAGCCTCGCATCACTCACTCATTCATTCATTCATTCATTCGTGCTGAGGCAAACCCGGGTCTGTGGACCAGGATGAGTCAGACCCAGCCCTGCCCTGGACTAGGGGGAACCAACCCTGGTCCAGATAATTCCAGCAGGACATTGGGCAACTGACCCCACCTGGGGTGGAGGGAGAGGGACACCTGGGGAGGCGACATCTGAATGGAGTCCTGTAGGAGTAGTATTCATGTAGGAGACTCTTAGGTAAAAGAATCCAGTTGTCAGGCAGATGGGACAGCTCAGTCACTAGGCCTGTCTCACTGAACACATCTCTCTAAGGCCTCCAGGGATAAATGGGCCCCAGACTGGACCCCTGGAGAGCACGCAGCAGTGAGTGGGGAGATCATGAGAGGTCTGGAATCAGACACTTTGGTTCCCGTCCCCACTCAGTCTTTTTGTGCAAGAGACGGTGGGAGCACTCAGCAGAATGCCTCGGAGCTCCCGCCCTCCCCATGACTGTTCCGGGGCTCATGTGCAGGCCTCTGAGGAGAGAGAGAGAGAGAGAGAGAGAGCGCTGGATGGCTGTGCCCGCCCTCCTGGGGGCCCTGGCCTCGAGGCCTCCAGTTTCCTGTGGTGCCACCCTCTCCTCGTCCCGCTCTCAGACTCCTGGCTGCAGCTGCTAATGAGGCTGCCTGCCACTCTAATTGGGCCTGTCTGGGGAAGCTGACGTTGGGTGGGACAGGGGCTCCGGAGCTGTGACCTCCCCTCAGTCACCACGAAATGGAAGGGGGAAGGGGCCTAGCAGCAGCAGCGGGGCATGGGCTGCACAACTGAGTGTCGGGGGCAGGATGACCCACACCTGGGAAAGCCGGGGGAGACGGAGGCGGTAAGATCCTGCGACCCTGGAAGTGGCTTGAACCCTGAGAGGGTCTGGATTCCTTTTGGGGTGCTATTTCAGGAAACAGATATAACAGATATATCCTGGGGCGGGGGGGTTTGCTCTGAAACTGGAGGGCTGAATCCCTTGTCCCCAAGGAAGGTGATGGCTGGTAGTGTGGACATCTGGGTCTCCCAGGGGCATCTGGCTGGGCAGCTTGAGGCCTGTACCCCTAAAGAGGCATTTCAGGGGCTCAGGCAGCTGTGACCCCAGGAGGGGCAGAGGCTGGGAGCTCACGCCCTTAAAAGAGATTATTTAGAATGGGGATGGCGCTCACACAGTTGGGTTCAGGAGACCCAGTCCTGAAAATGACCCAGTAAAACCGACACTCACTGAGAATGGCGTGACCCAGCAGGCAGGACCCAGCAGGCAGGGTCTCCTCAGCCCTGGTCTGACTGGTGTTTGGGGAGCAAGAGGGGAAGCCTCAGCTCCTGGCTGCATCAGCTAGCGGAACAGCAGCTGAGAAAGCCGGTGAAATGAAGAGAGCCTCTTGCCCTTTCTGAGGTCACAGGCTCTGGGTCCACCCACGGTGGCCATTCCTCTTTAAGACCCCAGCTTTCAAGGTTACCCTGAGCCCCTCAGCGGGCAAAGGGGGCCAGGCCCAGGGAGGGTGCTCACAGGGAATTTGTTGTCGCCCCAGGTTGCCCAGAAGAGAGGAAGAGGAGGATGCAGAGACCCGGGCCATGGTAGGCAGTCCCCGCACCCCTCCCCACTCCAGGCCCTTGGAGGGGACTGATGTCATCACAACCCCTCCCCAGCTCCCACCCACACCCCCACTTCCCCGGAGCAGGCAGAAAAATCGTTGGAGATAACAAGGCCCTCTCTGTAGCTAATGAGAGCGGATGGTGCTGTGGGCGGGTGGCCGGCAGGCCAGTGGGCGGCCAGAATGTTCCCAGGGGACCCGCCCCCCTCCCAAGCACACACCGGGCTTCAGCAGCCACGCCACCAGCCTCACAAATGTGGCTACACCCCCAGATTGCGAAATGCACACGCACATGCGCCCACACACAGGAAGGGACCCGGCCCTCCCCAGCCGGCCTCCGAACCTCCTAGGGGCACAGCACCCGCTGCCCAGCCCCACACACGGGCTCCTTGGCTTCTCTAAGAGGCAGGCGGCCATCCCCATTCTCAGGAAAGGGAGGGAAGGAGGTGCGGTGCGGTGCGGGGCCTGCCGTCCTCGCCGAGGGTGTGAGAGCCAGAATGAGTGTGGGGTTCTGTTCTGGCCCCCGGGGCCCTGCCGGTCACACCGTCCAAGATGGCCTCTCTGAGCAGCCTGACCCCAAAGCCCACCGCCTCCCCGCCACCCCGCCCCACCCCTTCCAGGAAGACTGGGCCAGTGTGGTGATGACCTTCCCCGGCTCTCAGTGGGGCGGAGGGTGAAGGAGCATGTCCTAGAGGCCCAGGCCTGACACAGTGCCTGCACGCATCAGGTGGCAGTGGGGACAGTGGTGCCTGAGACTGGTGTGCTGTCACTGTTTATTACGGTGTTGTTGCGGCCACTGGACTCTTCCAGAGCCCAGCGGAAGTGGAGATGACTGGACCAAGCAGCTCGCACAGTTCCCAAGCCCCCACTGTGTGCCAGGCGCTGCTCTGGGCCCCTCTCGCTCTTTTGGTTTTTACCTGCGTTCACTTAGTCAGCCTCCACTTCAGGCCTGGGAGGTGGGCACTGCCAGCGTCCCTGTCCACCGGGGGGTGGGGGGGACATGCCACATGGAGACACAGACAAGCTGGCAGAGCTGGGACCCCCAGCCCATGTTTCAGGGAAGCTCACCTAGTGAGCCATTCACTGTGTGCCACCCCCTTCCGTGGGGTCCCTTCTGTCCAGGACCCAGTGTCTCAAGTTTGTCATCTCCTTTGTCCTCCCAGGCTGATCTCTCCAACCCTCTGAGAGACCCTCACCCTCGACACTTTCCAAGAAACCCTCCTGAGAGGTAGCAGGACCCACAGGGACTGGGAAGGGACTTGGGGACAAAGTCCAGCGTGATCGCCCAACCCTCCTTTCCGTCCAGCAGCCCTGCCCCGCCAGACCTGCGCCAGGCCCTGGTGCCTGTGGAGAAGAAGCTGGTACCTGTCAGGAGGCCGGTCTGGGGCCAGCTCTGCCTGTGCCCCCTGCACCCCCAGCGGCTCAGGTGAGCCCAGCGCGTCACCAGAGAGAAGGTGGTGGTCAGACATCAGGCCGCCCAGGCTCCCCTGGGCCCCACGCTAAGCACCGTCCTACCTCCCCACAGGGTCGCTCGGCACCCACTGATCCCGGCACCCGTCCTGGCCCTCCTGCTGCTGCTGCTGCTGCTCTCCCTCCTGCTGCTCGGCCAGTCCCCGCCCCCCACCTGGCCGCACCTCCAGCTCTGCTACCTGCGGCCACCTCCTGTGTGAGCCCTGCGCCCACCCCTCAGAGCCACGTCTAATCCAGTGGGTTCCTCGGCTCGGTTTGCTGTTCTGCTATTGCGGTGCCACCGTCATCTGGGATTGTTCCCCCAGTGCCCACCTGAACACCAGATGCAGTGTTTCCGGATCCACACCCCGTGTGGTGGGGTCTTTATGTGAAGTCTCTTGGTTTTTTAATGTTAGCAACTGCATTTCTCTTTTCTTTCTTTCTAAAATTTTATTTATTGGTGTTAGAGAGGGAGGAAAGGAAAGAGAAACATCGATTTGTTGTTCCATTTATTGATGCATTCATTAGTGGTTCTCATATGAGCCCTGACTGGGAATTGAACCCACAACCTTGGTGTATGGGGATGACACTCTAACCAACTGAGCTACTGGCCAGGGCAGCAGCTACCTACATTTCTTAACAGTAATGAAACATGCCCAGGGACGGAGTGAGTGCTAGGGGTTTGTATTCTTCACAAAACAAGCCTGGGACAGCAGTAGGCCCACGGCTCAGTCTCCCCGCCGCGGGGGGGGGGAGGGCGTCCTGTGATTCTCTGTGGTGGTCCTGGCCATCCCCTTGTGCCCAGGGATAGCAGGCACTGGGGCTTCGTTCGTCACCTCTGCAGGGGGAAGGGGACCAACAGGTCCATTCTTCTTTATGAAACAAAGCAGCAGCCTCCCCAGAGCCAGCAGCAGACCCGTGTTTCTTCCATCTCATCGGCCAGACTGCCTGGCGGTGAGGGCAGTGGGGCGCCTCTCCCGCCAGGAAGACGGAGGAAGAGACGTGGGCCTGGCATCTGGCGCAGATGTCCACTGCGGTGCAAGTGGCCCCGGGGGAAGTGGGCTGGCATGCCTTTGCTCGCTCCACAGACACTTAGTGACCATCGGTGTACCACAGCCAGACCTCAGAAGGTAGAGCTGTAGCACAAGAGGCCCTCCAGTGCCAGGCCGAGGGGCGTTCCTTTTCCCCATGGGCGATCGGAGTTTGGGGAGGTTTTATTGCTTGTTTGTGGTTATGTGCATTTTACCTGAGGTATAACTTACATTCAAATAAATGGACACATTGAAATATCAGCTGGATGAAATGTTTGCATGTGGGGAAGACCCCGAAACACCGGGAATTTATTTATAAAAATTCTGTCTTACATGTCTATTCTTACATGTCTAAACTTCAGTCACCTTCAAAGTACTCTCCATTTGAGATGATGCACCTATTGAGACATTTTCCCTACTGCTCAAAACATCAATTTGGATGTCTTTTAGTGCTTCTGCCGTTTTTTGCTTCACTTCTTCCACATTGACAAAATGTTTCCCTTTGAGGACTTTTTTCATCTGGGAAAAAAAAAAGTCCCTTGGGGTGAGATCAGGTGAATGGGGCAGTGGGGCACAGTGGTCATGCCATCTTGCTGAACCCCCAGTGTGGTGTGGGCAGGTGCACTTGTAAGTCGCCCATCATGAAATGGGGAAATACATTTACAATCTTAAAAAAAATCACTGAAGCCAAATGCAGCCTCTCACAACAACACCAGCTGGTATGCTGATACAAATGAGTTCCTAGAACACTCACCTAGAAGGGGAAGCCTGTACTACAAGCAGCCTGCCCTCCAGAAGATAATTCTGTTCCCTCCCCCCATATGTGTACACTTATGAAACCAACCCAACCCGGTCAAGATGTAGAACAGTTTCAGCACCACTGAGCCACCCTTGGGAGAGTTTTCAGCAAAGCAGGGACACAGTCACACCTATATGAAGACAGGCAGTGATAGAGGTAGCTGCAGGCTCTGTGGGAGCCCCCAAAAGGCACCTGACTCAGCCTGGGAGGCTAGAGATTTCTTCCCAGATAAGTAACATCTGCGTTTACTCTTTTTTTTTTTTAAGATTTATTTATTTTTAGACAGGAAGAAAGAGAGAGAGAGAGAGAAACATCAATGTGTGGTTGCTGGGGGCCGTGGCCTGCAACCCAGGCATGTGCCCTGGCCGGGAATCAAACCTGCAACACTTTGGTTCACAACCCGAGCGTTTACTCTTGAAAGGTGGCTACGGTTGGTTACAGTGAGCAGGGGCTGAGGGGGATGTCTCAGGGAGGAAACAAAGCATGTGTGAAGACCAGGTGGCGGGAAAGCGCCTGTGTGTGGAGAGCCATAGGCAGCATCATGTTGCTAGGATTTTTAAAAAATCCCACGAAGGGTTTTGAATACCAGCCTGAACTTTACTTTTAAGCGCCCGAGATAGGGCTGTGAGCAGAGAAGGGACAGAATCAACCCAGAGTGGGAAAGAGACCTTCTGAGCCTGCAGAGGGAGGGGGTGAACAGTGGAGTGAGGCCCGGGGGCGGGGGGTGAGGAGGAGGCTGGGGCTGTGGCCTGGGTGCAAGAGGGTGAGGGCTGAGCGGGGCCAGGCAGGAGGGTGGGAAGAAGGGAAGGGTGGGGAGAGGCAGGGCAGGGAGGATGGAGTCGAGGACTGCCAGGCTGTGAAGGGGGACGGAGAGGGAAACCCAAGGACAGCACTGACCCGGTGACTGGTAGACTGTGGAGCCGTTGCCAAGGTGGGGCACCCATGAGAAGGGGCTCATTTGGGATGGGGCAAGTGTCAGGGTCCCAAGAGGTGGCCGGAGCCCTGTGCTCCGAGCTCTCCATCCGGAAATGTGACACTTGGGCAGAGATCTAGGGAGGAAACAGAGTACGGGAAGGGTACAGGCCACTACCCCGCTGCCAGGCCCTCTCGCACAGTGTCTGGGAGATCGTGGGGCATGTGGCAACCACTCGTGAGACTTCGGGTCCACCTCTCCATCAGAGTAATGGAAAAGTTTAGACTTTGAAGTTGCACAGATTTTGGGTTCCAGTTATCCTTCTGCCCTGTTAGCGCTGGCAACTTGGGGAAACTACTTCTGACTTTCAGAGTCTTGTTATCTTTTTTTGTAAATTTTGCCAACTCTGGATGACTTTGAGGAATGCACTTCTTCATTATTCAGTGTTTCAACAACGTCGAAACCAGCCCACCTCAAGGCCTAAGGGGTCCACCTTCCAGAAACGCAGGTTGAGGGAGAGCTTGTCAAACACCAAAAGCCCGCCCCCTTCCCGCCCCTTCCCGCTCCTTCCCGCTGGTGGCCACGCCCGGCCCCACCCTCTTCTCTGCAGCAATCAGAGTGTGGTCCGCTGGAAAGCACCCTGGGCTTGAAGTTCAGAGCCCTCAGCGTCTGGGAAGGAGGAGGTTGCCATAGCCACCATCCAGGGGCAGGGCTTGAGGGCTGATGAGTGGAGAGACAAGAGATTCTGCTAGGCTACTAGCCCCACCCCTTGCCTCCAGAAGTCTGACTTCTGGTCCCCCCACTCCTCTCTTCCTGCCCCATCCTGCCCCTCCGACGGTCTCCCGCGAGAAACCTCTGAAGAAGCTGCTGAAGGCAGCTGCCGGAGAAGGGAAAACCCTTTTCTAATAAAAGCGTTGGCTTCATGCGGGGTGCTGTGCTGATGTCCTCTCAGAGTTATCTGGTTGAATCCTCAGATGAGGAAAAGGAAGTCCAGAGGTCAAGTCCTTTCCAACACCACGCGGCTAGGTTTGGGGGAACCTGGCCTTCAGTGGCAGGTGCATCTCATGCCAGAGTCCCTGATCTGCCCACCGCGCCCAGAGAGAAGTCAGGGCAAGAGAATGAAAATGGCGAGATTCAGAGAAAATTGAGATCCGGAAGAGAGTGAGGAGACCCAAAGGGAGAAAGAAAGGAAGGCACGAAGGAGTCAGGCAGCGGGGTGGGAAAGTACATGGAAGAAAGAGTTTTAGAGGCAGCAAGAAGAGCAGAGAGCGGAGATAGAGGTCTCCAGGAAGGTGGGAGAGAGAAGTACAGAGACTCAGAGAAGGGGGCAGAGACTCAGAGGACAGAGACCTGACAGATAAGAAAACCTGAGAGAATGGGACAGAAACCCAGAGAGGGCAGAGACTCGGGGCTGGGGGGAAGCAGAGTCGCAGGGGATGGGGAGGGACACAGGCACGGAGTGAGAGGTGGGGACAGATCAGGAGCAGGGGCGGGGATAGAGCAGAGTTCGAGAGATAGCTGTACACCAATAATGAATGGTGGGGAATGACTTTTCTTTAAGGAGAGAAAAGGGGACTGAGGAGTGAGACGCCAGTGTAACCGGTGCTGGGCCCGCCCCCTACACACACACACACACACACACACACACACACACACACACACACACACACACACACACGGAAGGAGGCGCAGTCACAACGCACAGCAGGGTCTTTTATTAACGAGTCCAGGGTCGGGCCCTCAGCGCGCATCCAGCACCAGCAGCTTGTGCATGTATGAGTTCAGCCAGTGGCGGCGCTCCAGGGCAGCCAGCATCCGTGCGCGCTCCCGGAAGGCTGCGTCGTCCGCCAGCGCCAGGGTCCGTCGCCACACGCGGGTGGTCGGGCCCGCCCAGGCTCGGCTGGGTGAGTGGACGCTGCGGGAAGACCAAAAGACCCAGTTACAGCGTGCGTCCAGGTCCCGCGCCCGCTGCCGCTTGTCCCTCTCGTGGTCTAACTCGAAGCCCTGTTACCGCACCGTCTGTGGAGTGACTGCGTCTCTGTCCCTCTGTCTCTCTTTCCCTGTGTGGGTCTGTCTCTGTTCACCAGCTTGGGAGCTCCTTGAGTAGGGGGACTCTGCGCCCTGGTCCCCCCGCCCCCGCACTCAGCCCACAGCCAGGCACACCCCAAGAACCTGATCGCCGTTGTTCAAGGAACGAATCCGTTTCTGCTTTGACTCCGTTTAAGTCTCTCAAGACCTTTCTCAGAATGTATCTTTTCGTATCTCTTTCTCTTGCTGATTCCCTGTCCACCCGCCTCTCTCCTCACCCTGGTCTCTGTCTTCTCTCTCTTGGTCTCTGCCCCGCCTCTCTGAGTCTGTTTCCTTTTCTCTTTGGGTCTCTTCCCACCTCGCTGAGTCCCCACCCCTTCCTGGGAGCCTTGGGCATACCTGAAGACCCCCGCGGGGGGCAGGGCGACCCCCGAGGCAGTGCCAACGCCCCAGGGCACAAGCAGCAGAAGCAGCAGCAGTAGCCGCACCCGGGAGCTCCTGGGCACCTGGCGAGTCTCCATCACCTGTGGAGAGGCAGGGAAGGGCTCTGTGAGACCCGTGTCCTGGCCCAGAACCCCAGAGTTTACCCACCCCCGGCAGCCTGATGGCAGGCAGGGTCCCCTACCGCTCAGTGGGCTCTGACAGCGAGGCTGACAGCCCCCTTATATCCCTTCCACAGCCCTCACAGCGGGCAGTGACGCAGACCAGGGGGCTGGGGGCTGGGGGCCCGGGGTCAGCCTCCCCCCAAGGCTCATTAGGAGCCGCCAGCTGTAATGAGGAGCAGAAGGTGGGGGCTGCGCCACTGCCTTGGAGGCAACCAACTAATTGGGACCAAGATCTGGGACCTCCGGAAAAGCGGGAGGGGGAGAGACAGACAGACAGAGATGGACACAGGGGGTGTGTCATAGGGATAAAAATAGAGACTGGCAGAGGGACCATCAGAGCAGAAACCAGAGACACAGAGAGAGAGAGAGAGAGAGAGAGACACTGGAAAAGCCACAGTGGAGAGACTAATGGGGAGAGAAGCAGGGACACAAAGGGATGAAGTAACCGTGAGAAGGAAGGACAGAAACAGAGTGACAGAGGAAAGAAAGGCAAAGAAGGAAGAGAAAAGAGAAGGAAATTGACAAAGAGGTCCAGCTAGAGGTGGCGGGAAAGGCTCCCAGGAAGATGGAAGGAATGGAAGGACCGCCAGCCTGGACAGAGGTCCCCGGAGATACACCCAGGCAGGGAGAGAACCAGACAGGCAGAGTGGGAGACAGGGAAGGGATGACAGCCGGAGAAGACAAAGGGGGCATGTGGTGGGGGGTGTGAAGGCAGGGCACATCAGGAGGGCTGGCGAAGAGGGGAAAGAGCCAGACAGGACCTGAGCTACCCCGGGGACGTGTCTAACCCTCCTCAGGGAGGGGTTCAGGGGTGTTATGAAGATAAGCTCCAATCCACATCCACCCTGACCCTTAAGGGGGGTGCACACTGCACAGTGGGGAGGTAGGCAAAGGCTGGGAAGTCCCAAAGGCAACAGCAATGTGGCAAGACCCCTAGTTCCCCAGAGAGGAGGGGAACAGGGCCTGGGCTGGGCTCCTGCGTTTAGCAATGAAGGGGACAGGGACCAGACTCTTGGGTTCTGGTGGGGGAGGGGCCTGGGGGGTCTATATTTCTGGATCCACTCTGAGGAGAAGGGGCCGAGGGGCTTGGTGTAGGAGGGCACCGGGGAGCTGGACGCAGGCTGGGTGTCCGAGAGGACGGAGCCCTGTTTCCACAGGGAAAATAGCTTAGTTGGGTCCCATCCACCCACCAGATCACCCAACCCCTAACTCCCTCCCCCACTCCAGAGACAATGTCCTTTGTCCCTTTAAGAGCCCAAGCTTGTCGCTAGGCGCCCAAGGTCCCCAGGGAGGGGGTCAGGTGCATCACCCGCGCCCCTGGGGACCGAACCTCCTACTGCTCCACCCAGAGCTATTCTGCAGCACTCACTGATCTCTGCACTCCGCTCTGCTCACCTGCTGCTAACTCGGACCCTACTAAACAGGTAGGAGACCCCAGGGCCCGTGACCCTGTCCAATCCAGGAGTCTGCCACCCCTACCTCCTCCGCCCGAGCACAGACCTCAGCATCTCTGCCCCAGACCAGCCCCTGAGTTCCTGAGATCTAAGCTGCACCCTCAATAAACAGAGAGAACTGGTTCCCCCAGAGCACTGTCCCCCTGCAGGCCGAGGAACCCAGATCCCTGCACCCCTATCTCTGGAAGGCCCAAGACTCAGAGTTCCCAATCTCCTTCTAACTCAGAGCCCAAGGGTTCAAGGCTGCCATTTCTGTTCTCACCTGTATTCCAGCCACCCCCTCCCCCAGCCAAGCTTCACTCCCTCAAATTTCTAGGCATCTGAACCTTCAGGCTTCTCTTCTCTAAAGAACCATGAATTTAGACCCACGGTGCCCTCCACCCTCTGGGAATCGGGTGCCTAAACCCCCAGGTGCCTTCTCACCCAGGACCCAGGAGTCTCCTTCCTCCCTCAGATCCAGGCCTGCAGACCCCCAGCCCCCTGGGCATTTCTCCAATCCTTCTCTAGCATAAACAACTGTTGAGTCAAGGTGTTCCCGGGACCCTCGGAGAGGAAGGGATCCATATCCACTCAGAGAGCTACATCCTCCGAAGTCGAAGTTGAGATCTGGGAGCTTTGAGAGGTGTCATTTTTTGCCAGTTTTTCTGGGACCCCTCTTGGGGAAACAGGTAAGGAAATTAACTACGACTCCCAAGAAGCCCCACGCCTCAATGTCCCTTAGCTATGGCGGCCAACGCCCCAGCCCTCTGGCACCAGCAGTACGGTTCTCCAGCTTTCGCTGGTGCCAAGCTGGGTGGGGGTGTGGTCCACCTGGGGAGGAGTGGGCGAGGCCTGCGGGAGTGGGCGTGGCCCCTGGGAGTGGGCGTGGTCTCTGGGAGTGGGCTGGGACTCCCCGGCAACTTCCTGCCTTAACCCCTTCCGTCTCCCCGCAACTGTAGGCGTCTCCCAGGGCAATGAAACCCTTCAGCCCCATCCTCTTCCTCCTCGTCTTCCTCCTCGTCTTCCTCCTCGCTGAGCTGGGTTCCAAGGCTGCCCCTTCGGTCTCACCGACTGTGGGCACCGACTTCCCCGGGATGGACCGCCCCTCCGAAACCTTCCCTCATTCTCCTGAAAATTCCACCCGCGACCACCCTAACCCAGAACCCCCTCGGGTTGCTTCTCCTGAGCCCTTTGAGACGCCTTCTGCGTTTTCCCCTGAGCCCTCTCCCCATGAATTCACTGAGACTCCCAACCCTGACCTTCAAGAACCCCCACACCCAGAATCTCTTGAGATCCCCAAACCTAATTCGCTCAACGCCTCAATATCAGAACCCCTGGAGACCTCCCAAAGTAACTCCTCCCAAATGACCCATCCAAAACCTTCTGAGACCCCTGTACCTGACCCCACTGAAACTCCACACCCAGAATCCCCTGAGACCCCAAAATCTAATTTCTCCAAAACTTCACACCCAGAATTTCCTGGGACCCCGAATCCTGACCCTCCCCCAAGTCCACACCAAGAATTTCCAGGGATTCCCAAACTTAACTCCACTGAAATCTCACATACAGAAGCCCCTGATCCTGACCCCACCAAAACCTTTCACCCTGAAACTTCAGAACCCCATGACCCCAACACCACTGAAAACCCTAACTCTGAATTCCCTCAGACTCTCAACCCTGACCCTGCCAATACCCCGCTCCCAGAATCCCATGGAACCCACAGCTTGGGCCCCACTGAAATCCCCCAACCAAAATTTCCCACAACCCACTACCAAGATACAGCAGAGATCCCCATGGGATCCGACCCTAAAATTCCCACCAGTCTTCACCCAGAAACGCCTGCGCCCTTCAAGGACCAAGCTACTGCCCTAAATGAGCTGTCCCTGAACATCGAACCAGAAACACGTGCAGCCACCCAGCCCAGCTCCCTTAAACTGAGCTCAGATTTTCCTGGGACCATTGAGCCCCAAACCTCCCAGCACTCTAGCCCTAAAGGGCCAGATGCCCCTCCTCCCTCATCCCGGATTGCCGACGCCCCTGCTCCCTCGGGACCCCCCAGTCAGTCGGCCCCTGCCACTCTGCGGGCCCCGCAGCGGCGCAACCGAGGTGAGAGAGTCAACACGATCATCCTGGTGGAACGCGTGGAGGAGACCGGTGAGGGTCTAGGACCCGGAGTCCTGGGTCTGAGGGAGGAGGGGGCGGGGAGTTCAGATCGCTCATTCCCTGGCTCCTTCCTTCAGGCGTGACCCTGGTGGGGCGCCCCCGTGGCGCGGGGGGAGGGGCCCTGTGCTTCTTCTTCGCCGGGACGGGGCTGCTGATCGGCGTGTTCCTGCTGCTGTGGTGTCTCTACCGCCGGGGAGCTCGGCAGCGGCCCTTCGCACATCACCGGCTTCCAAACGACGGAGATGAGCCAGGTGAGCGTCCCTTACAGCGCCCCGCCCTGAATGCCTGCCCCTTAACCAGCTTTCCCCTGACATTTTAGGACGCCCCGCCCAAAAGTTCAGGTTCCCCCATCCAGGGTCAACAGAAGCCCTGACCGCTCCATGGTCAGGTTCTGTCCTCTAGTTCTCAGAAAATTCACACACACACATCCAGTGCCTCCCCTAGACCAGCTGGGTGGGACTGGCTGCGGACTCGGAGCCACTGATCCCTACCGGCTCTGACCCTTCCCCTCCCAGAGCACTATAATCCCCGCCCTCTCCACCTCAGGCCCCGCCCCTAATGCGCGAACACCACGCCCCCTCAGGGACGCTTGTCCTTTGATATGAAAACCCAGCTCCAATAGGGTGTCAGCGTCCTCTCTCTCCCGCCTCCCCTTTGGCCGGCGGGAGGAGGCTTGGGAATGACCTCGCCCCTTTGCTCCCATAGTTATGCATTTGGACACTCCGAAGGAACCCTACAATCTCTACTTTTATGCGCCGGACGCTTGGGTCCCTTCCCACATCGCCACCAAGCAGCCGCCGCCCACTCCTCCGCTGCCGCCCAAGCTGCCCCCGCCGCCCCGCGGGGGTCGACCCCAGCGTCTAGAGCCGCTCTCCCCCGCCACGCTCCCCAACAACTTTGCGTGAGCCCCGCTCCGTCCCGCCAGACCCGCGCCGTTCCCGGACGGAGGAAGGGCCCACAGATCCTATCCTCCCGGCACGCTTTGCTCCATAGTGGTACTGTCGGATAGAGTCCAACACAGAAGTGCTTTCTCTGTGACCGGACCGGCTGAGGTGGAATAAATCATGTGTTCCCGCCAGTAGACACCTCCTCTGGCCTGCGTCCTGGAGGAGGAGGGTGGCTGGGGCCGTAGAATACCGGGTCTGCAGGAGGAAGCACGCTGAGGGCTGGGGTTCCTGGGTCTGAGGAAGGAGGGGGTGGGGGGCTGCAACTCCTGTGACCTTAAGGCCACTGAGCCAATGACGACAACGAGGTGTGTACACCAAAGCATTTTATTGGGAGTGGGGCAAGGGAGGGTTTACAGTCACAGAGACAGGGACACAAAGACACACCCTGCCCCGGGAAAAACAGCCCTTGCCCCCAGCCCCATCCCTTTCCTGGGATGCCTTTGCCTGCATCGGTCCCCAAATTCGAAGCCGAAAGAGAGGTCTCTGAGAGGGGCTGCGTCCCAGGCTTTGAGTCACTTAGCCCCTGAGGGACACACAAATGGCCACTGAGAAAATTGGGCAGCTTGCAGCCACCCAGGAGAATA